TCCTTGCTGAACTTCCTCCCGTACAGTCGAAGGTACCTATCAAGGGGAGAACATGTCATATGAGTGGAAAACAGAGAACAGGAGAGGAAAAGCATGATTCACAAAACAAAAACTTGCATATTCTCGAGTACAGTACATAGTCAGCAGAAGGCACACTATTTCTAAAACAAATAATTACATAATTTTAAGTTTTATCTTAAAATCACCACAATAAAGCAGTGATAAACAACAAAATGTGGTGTGGTGAATGCTCACTTTCATAACACATTACAGGGAACGTTCAGAAAACATTGGGGGGAAAAGGTTTTGTTTGGGAGGGATACAGATATGGCCATCAGTTATCTGTTGGAGCAATTCTGACCTCATCACTAACCATGTAAGCACGAAGACATGATCAGGAGAAAAACAGAGAGCGCTGTGTGTCTAAAGCTGAGTCAGGCTAGCATGACAAAAAATGATTGCAACAGCAACAGGTCATCAAAATGGATTTATATTAGAGACGAGAGCCTTTGAAAAAAAAATCCTATTGAACTATTAAACTGTAGAGCCATGGCAAACAATATTTATGCTAGAGCAGATGTGCGTGGAGATAGATAGATGCAAGTAATGCAAGCTTCATATTCGAATTAAAAAATTCAGTAATATTGTGAAATAATTCTTTAAAATAATATTATATGGTAATAAACTTTAAAAAGCATTTTATTCCTGTGCTGGCAAAGCTGAATTTTCAGCAGCCTATGCCAGTTTTCAGTGTCACATGATGTGTTCTAATGTGTTGATTATTAGCCTTACTGCACATTTGGGTATATATTAAAATTAACAATGCATAAATAAGCCTAACAGACAACATTTTCGCCTTCTGATCGCTCTGCACTCAAAAACGATCATGGGCTCATTGATGAATCACTTAGTTCGACGAATCAATAATGAGTCATCGGTCAGAATCAAACTCACTTATTCACTGAATCGGGTCGAATGACTAACTAAACTGTAGATTATATCAACTTAAACAACATGCCTGCCCTCGCTGCAAATACAAAGCCCTTTAGGAAACACTTTCACGGCCTTGAATTTAATCTGATGATGAGATAAGAGGCCAAATGGATACGAAATTAGGTTTGTAAACATATTTGGCCATTTAAGCAGAGATACTCTGTCGAATATGTCGCATAATACAAACTCTACAGGGGCTCAACAACAGTCAGTGTAGGAGCAAAGCCACTGTAGTAATACACTTGTGATCATACAAGTTAATCATACGAAGAGTCCCATTTAAATGTTAGGCAGCATGCACAAGAAACTCATGAAATCATTCATTATGATATCTTCAAAAAATAAACATAAAACGTAAGCATGCGATATTTTAATACAACAATAACGTTATACCCTTTATCTGACCTTTACTCAGGGTATTTTAACCATAAAATAAAGTCCCATTTCCTTCTGTCTGTTGTTCAACAAGGTGAAAACTGACCATGAATTACTTCAATTGTTAATAAGAAACATATTAAAATGCAGTCAGATATCTTTTTGAAGACTCCACATCCAACCACCAGTTGCAGTGATGCATGTGGCAACTGCTTATCCAGCACTAATGTTAGCCTCCGTTAGCTAATTAGCTTAGAAATGAGCTTACAATAGTCCCACGTTTCCCGACTTTTTACCGACTAAAGATACTCTGACAAACCAGACCAAACGAAATCTTACACTCAATAGTATGAAAGGTCAACGTGGAGTGCTAGCAGATGGATATGTGATGTTTACGTATATGCAGACAGCTGAGTGACTCAGGTAACGTTAGCGCTTAGCCTTTAGCTCGCATGCTAACGGCTACAAGCTACCTGAGTCACTCAGCTGTCCCTGCTGTTTATTAACAAACCAGGTTCAATTGTCACATCGAAACATTGTTTTTGAGTCTTGAATATACTCACGTGGATAGTTTCCGGGTCCAAAATAAAACTCCTGGCCATAACTCACGGAACTGGACAGCCCGACCCAAGTTCCCTTTAATCTGGGCCAAAATATCATTGGATTCGCGGTCTAGTTTATCTGCGTACGGGAGAAGTTTGTTGTAGACGATCTCTTTTTGAGGGACAAAACCTAATATCTCGGCCTGCTCCTTTTTCATATTACGATTCCCAAAATAAATATCCTCTTCTGACGTGTCCGGCTTATTTCCTTCCCCTCTTGACAGAAGTTCCCTTGACAAATCTTTGTTTTATTCACAAAATCCTCTACTTTCGCATAAGTGCCGTTATTGTGGAGCGGGATTCAGATCAAAACTTGTTACTTCGACAGATCTGTCTTTCTGACCTCTTATGTTAAACACATTAGCTTCAGTCACCTACATAGAGAAGTCTCCTCTCACTCTCTTGACACATATTACGAGTCACACGGACAGACACACACTCACATAAACACACGCTCAACCTCACACACATAACACACCAGCGGGTGCAACAATGAGCCATGAGCCGCGCGCCCCCTAATGGTGTTGAGCGGCACATTCAGCAGTCACAACACCGACCGTGAAAGTGTTCAAAACCGTGGATAGTTCACCCAAAAATTGTGTCTAGTTGTTCCAAACATGTAATAGTTTCTTTTTCCTATTAAACACAAAGAAGATATTTTAAAGAATGTTGTTAATCAAACAGTTGACGGTAGCCACTGACTCCAAGAAAGACTAGAAGTCGATGTACCGTCGACTGTCTTACAAACATTATTTAAATTGTCGTCTTTTTTGTGTTCACCAGAAAAATACAAATTCATACCGTTTTGGAACAACAGCCTGAAGGTAAATGACAACATTTTCATTTGGGGGTAAAAGTTGCGATTAGTGATTATTTCTTTTAAATTTAGAAATGTATTTAGTAGGCCTAAATATTTTTGTCTCTTCCCTCAGCTATATATATATATATATATATATATATACATAATTGTCATTTTTTAATTATTAATGTTTTTTATATAAAAATATCTATAGCTATATTTTAAGAAAAATATATAGCTATATTTTTATTTTTTTATATATTTTCATATTTTAAGAAGGGTTATAGTATACTATTTTGAGTCTCGATCTCAGAACTTCTTTTTGAGCATTTTTTACATTACCTTCTAGTGTATAGTATGAAAAATAATTAGAGTTTTAGAGAGTGTCACACTTGGGGGGGAAAAAAAACTCTTTTCTTGTTCTGTTAACATAGGCTAATTTTACCAAAGAAATGCTATGAACATGTACGTATGACACAAGCTTTGTTTGTGTACTGGTCCCTTCACTTTGTTTAAACGGTTTATCCAAGGCAGTGATATTAACGAGATAACTTAAATCCGCTTTGGTTATTTCCTTGTGCACTGACCCAGTGCGCTACTCACTTGACCTAGTGTCATGGCAGACGAATGTTCTGTGCATTCACCCTTCAGCAGCTCTTTCTTAATTTGATCAAGCTTTTAAATGAGCACTCAGTTGTAGAGATGTGTGCATTTCTGTATCTCAGTGGGTCTTCAGTTTAATTCAATTTGTTTCATTTTGTGTTCAGCTCTAAAATCTCTCCATCGAGATTACATATCTGGAGATATGCTCATTTTTCATTGACTTGAGGTATCATGGATACTCTATGGAATATCTATGGAAACTCAGTTTCTCATAGATGTTTAATCTCGGTGGAGACCTCAAGTCAATGAAAAATGAGCATATACATGGCAGAGAAAATAAATAGAAGTCACATTTCCCACAGCTCATTTGCACAACAGATTCCTCAAGGTCATTTATTTATTTGTACTACATCTTTCTCAACCAATAGGAGAATTCCTTACAGAAATTCCAGCTAATCAGTTGCAATGACCTTTTAGCATTCAGCCAATCAGATCCTTTGCCCGGAGGGTTATTTCATTCAGGCAAATCAGATTTGCATGGCCTGATCTGGGTATTGTTAATGAGATTCTGGATTAAAAGCCCCACTTGCAAGTCTCTAAAATATGGTGCTGTGTCAGATGTAATAGAGAATACAGCACCTGAAATGACCAGCAATTGAATGCATATCAAATAACAGAATCACATTTTCCAGGTCCCTTATAACGTGCAAGCATGTATGATCATGGTATGAGCAAAAGTGTTGATACAACACGGCTATGGCTGTGTGCTTAAATCCAAATTGTTTTAGTAGATGTGTCCTCAATCAGACAGACAGGAAGCAACTTGGCCATACAACATGTTTAGCCCTGACTTTGATTGGATCATGTGACTTTTAAATCCCACTTGACCCAACAAATTCAAAGCCTTCACTCCCGGTGTCCCAATTGTGCTCTTGTGGACTTATATGGCAGAGCTCATTAGTTTTTTTGAAACTACTTTCAATTTGTGCCACTCATTATTTGTATTCCTAATATAAAAACAGTGATCGAAAGAATGAAGCTTGACAAGATTTAGCTGTTGAGATTTTGGTGAAATTAAAATGACTATTTATTTATTCTAGAACAAGTGGAAATGTATTTTTGTTCATGTGAACCAAGGTTTTAAACAGAAATATGTAAATAATGAAGAATTTAAAAAGAATGCAAAAGTCTACTACTATTACTAGAAATGCACACTCACTTGTGGAGCAACAGTGCCCTCTGCTGGTGTTTGTATACGAATATCTGAAGGTTTTTTTTCCTCTCTCATGGAGTAGAAAAAAAAAAAAAAGTTTAATTAAATAATTTAAACAAACAGGTCTTCTTCTCTAGGGATTTTAATTATTTCCAAACTATGTTTGTAGCACATATTGCCTTTGGAAAAATGCCTAAGTGCTTAAAGTGACATGGACTTTTGCATTCCAATGATAAACTTTGCATTTGCTTGCAACACTGAGAACCTTTTTTGAGTGAACGTAAAGTATTGAAATATAATTGTTCTTTCCATTATGTCAATTTAGGGGACCCGTAGAAAACAAACTAGTGTCGCTATTCATTTTTTTTTTAATGAAAAGTGATTTAAAATAGCAGATTAAGCAAGAGACGAAGCATTTATCTATATAATACAGTGTTTATTTGTACCAATATTTATTTATATCACAAATATATTTTTAAAATGCAGACTAGCATCTGTCTTTATATAAACTGTACATGAAGGCAAGGCACTATACAACGCAGAATAGAACGACATTTTCTCTTATTCCACGATTTCATTCAATCCTGTTTGAAGAGACACACACTGTATAGATTTACAAATAATCTCCCATGTACACACACATAGGGTTCTCAAGTTCAAGCATCTGTCTGGAAGGTTAAACACATCTTGAGGTCATTTATGAGAGCAGATATGAACGTACTTGCATAAAGTGCTCTTTTGAGCTTTCTTACATTCAGATAATAATTAAAAGGCTTTTTTGAATTTATTGGGGGTTTATGTTAAGCTGATGGCTACCTTGTGCATGTTGGACGGTGAATGACCATGTGGACAGAACAATGCAGAAAAATAAAAACGGGAGGAAAACAAGCTGGAAGCACTTAAAACAAAAAGAAAAATCACAAATAAAAACAAAAAATGGAGAAAATGGGTAAGAGATGTGCTACAAGAGGCTGGTAAACCCTTGCCAATCTCAGTCTTTTCTTCTTCCTTCAGCTCCATTTCACTTCCCTGTGTGTTTTGACACAGGAAGATATTCACTTGCGCTTTTCCCGTCTTGATCAAAAGGAATGAGAATGTCTTCACTTGCAGATTCAATCAGCAGTTCCAGTGCAGTCAGATTTCCTCTAAAACAGTCCTTTGGCTTTCTTCACATTCACTTGCTTCCATCCTGGCAGTGCCTCATATTCACTTCTTGTCATCTCCAATGCTTTCTGTAGAAAACATAAACACATATATACATTTAGGGATAAGGATTTAATAAAAAACATGCAGATGACATACAAGTGTTAAATCACACTCAGGACACTGAAATGCTGAAAAATGGAAAATCACACACACAAACACGACAGCTGTAGGATATTGAGTTACTGCCATTCACCAATCCAAAAATGGAAACATCCATTAGAGTACAAAGTATTTAAAGTAGCAATGCACAATTTATTAACACCACATTTGCAATTAGCTGATATTAAAATAAGGTATCAGTCAATGTTGGATATCTCACATTTTTATACAATATATTATAATGTTGTGATACCCACATTCACATGCCGGATTTAAAATATTGTATTTATTTAATTTAGACAAAACATAAAAAATAATTACTGGCATATATAATTTTTTAATCAGTGCATGTGAAAATAACATATACAGTCTTTTTGAAAGAAGTCCGTTATGCTCCCCATATATGTGTGCATGTATGTGTGTATATATATATTTATTTAAATTTATATAGTTAATAGTATATTTTAATAAAATATAATTTATTCCTGTGATGGAAATCTGCATTTTCACCATCATTACTCGAGTCCTCAGTCACATGATTCAGGAATTATTCTAATATGATGATTTGCTGCTCAAGAAACATTTATCACATTTAAAAACAGTTGTGCAACTGAATAGTTTTGTGGAAACAGGGAAAAATCTTTTCAGAATTGTTTGATGAATTGAAAATAATAAAAAAATATTTGAAATAGAAATATTTTGTAACATTATAAACGTATTACTGACTGTCATTTTAATAAATTTAATGCATTCTTTCTGAATAAAAAATATTCATTTATTTAAAAAAAAAAAAACAACCCCACTTGAACCATAGTGTGCAAATTATTAGAAATTATTTACCAGTTACACTATAAATCTTAATTAAAGTGAGACCTATCAGTGTGTGAACTATTAGTGGTGAACAGTGACCAACACACCTAGATAAGGATGTGATAAACAAGCACAAGGTGATGCAGTTCACACAGTGAGGATGTGGCATTAGTGGGAAAAAATAAAACAAATTTGTGTTCCTCAAAACAAAACTCACCTTCCCAGAAGCCCCTACACCCTGCCATGTGAAGGGAAAAATTAACCTCAGTCAGATGCAAGACTACACCAGCATAGAAGGGAAAAGCAGAAAGATGCAGGGAGAGACAGATTAAGAGAGGCAGCTTAAAGACGACAGAGGGAGCAGAACGAGAAATATGAAATCGATGAAGGGAAAAATGGAAAAATAAAACTAGACAGAACATACGAGCAAACACAGGGAGACAGATTTTACAGAACAGATCCAGTTCAGTAGTATCAGTGTCCAATTCTTTAATGCGCCCAGAACGATAAAATTTGTCTTATTAACTTAATAACAAATGAACCTCAAACACTACCATAAAAATCAACCAAGTGAAACCTCAGTGTTAATGGGATTTTTCTCACCTCAAAGTCCTCATCTGATAGGTAGATCTCAAGACGTAGAGGGTCAACACCTTCTGGTAGGGGGCGGGCTTGTATATCTGCCAATGGGTAAATGGTCTTGCAGAGTCTAGTCAAGACGTCTTCAACGAGAATGATTTGATTACATACTTCAGCCTCCTATAAATCACAGAACACAACAAAAATGATGTTTATTGATGTTCCCCATGACACCAGAAGCTAAAGCATCTTAAAAGGTTAATTCACATACTAATGTAAAATTCTGTCATCATTTACTCACCCTCATGTCATTCTAAATCCATAAAACTTTAGTTCATCTTCAGGAAACAAATTAAGATATTTGTAATGAAATTTACCTCCATTAACGGTCTATGCAACTACCAATCACACAAACTTTTATCAACTCACATCAGATACGGTAAATGGAAGCGCAAACATTTTTGCTTGATGTGTGTGTGAGCCAATGAGGTTTATTCTTGTGTAACGCAGCACGTGTAAGCTTCCGCAAGAACCAATGAGGTTCGTTCTCACGTGTCAAGCAGGTTCAGTTGAGCTTTCTTTCGTCTATGTCTATGTTCGCTGATCAATGTTAACACGTGAATAAAAGCCTAAATTAAAGAAGAAAAGTTCAATGGGTTTGTAAAGACATGAGGGTGGGTAAATGACAGAATTATGACCGTGGTACTCACCTGTAGGTGAGTACAACTAAGTGTAATAAAGCGCTTGCAGATATTGTGTTCATTGAACCAATATTATTATAAAGAAAATAGAAAAGAAAAAAAATTAATTTAATCTCTCACCTTCTCTGTGATCTCAGCAATGTCCTCTCTGTGTTCCCAGCTGGGAAACATGTTAGTGAAGGTAAGGGGCTCAAGCCCTGCGTGGATGAGGTATGCTTTTGGAGTTTTTCTCTCATTTTTTTCTAAAAATACAAAAGTAAAACCAATCTTGTTATTGCAACAGGAAACTAGAGAGTTTAAAAACACGATGTAACAGACAATGTCACCAGAGAGGTTCATTTGAGAATGATATTACACAATATCACTCTTGCTTCTTTCCTAAAAAGATCATTAAAGACAAGCAGGCATTTTAGCCACCTTTGCTATATTGGAGTACAGTTTCCATGGCACACTTCCTGTCGGAGTCCCATCGTATACGAGCTGAGCCGATGCTCTCACTGTCCTGAGGCCACCAGCCCTGCCACAGGTAAACTTCATGGTGATTATCCACCAAAAACAGGGCTAAAAGACAATCAAACAGAAGAAGCAACATCATGATACTGCCACAACCATACCTCATGATTTTTCAATGAGTGTGAAGAATCAAATTTCCTTAATAAATTATGCATGTAACGAGTGTACGAAAGCCTATTTAAAATGCAACTGACACCCATCCAGAATAGCTAACAGTTAACAAGCAAGTTACACGCCAAACAGAACTATTAACAGTGTTTAGTGAACATGAATGGGTCAAAAACCTGGCTGAGTAGCTGTATACAAATCCTCTTGAAGGAAAGGCATCGAGTTGACCAAATTTGGTTCTCTGGATGGATATACAAATTCCACTGCCACAAACTCTCCTGAAGCACTGCTTAACTGGAACAGCCGAGGAGTGAAGTTGAACTTTCCTGGATCTGAAAAACAATATAATACACATAAATCCAGGTTATCTGCAGTTTTTAAATCAAATTTAAGACCTTTAAAGTTTAAGTTTAAGACCTGCATAAATAAAATATTGTATGTCAATGCAAACACACCCTAACACTCAAAATAAATCATATACATCAGATTCTTTAACTTATAGGCACACATTAAATTGCGAATCATGGTAAATACAAATACTTATACAAATACTGTTTAAAATACTCTAAGATTATTTTAAGATATTGGATTTAGCTGACATGATAATGTGTCATGGTAAGAGGCATGACCTTTCTGGGCAATGTGCGATAAGCTGCTGTCGAATCACAACACAGAAATCGCTGGCACAATCAGAACTTGTAACATATTTCTGAAGGATGGACTTCATAGAACAAGGAAGTCATCTGCCCATTTTTTGGACAGTGAAACCAGCGGTATACAGATAAGTAAATTGTGGAAAAATACTGTTTTTTTACACTCGAAACATGAACATGTTATATTGCACACTGTAAACACATCAAAGCATCAAAAAACATGAAGAACGGGACCTTTTCTACAATTCAAGACTTTTTATGACCTTGAATTTGGTCAAATTGAATTTCAAGTGCCTCTATTATGCTATATCTCCAATTGGATTAAATGCATCCAAGGTACCGGTATATTTATAAAAAAAAAAACCCACTTTAATTTCCTCATAATATACATTGCAAATCACTTTTTCTCAAAAAAAATTTCACACAAAAAATTTTCTTTGTTTTTGCGCACAAAAAGTATTCTCGTTGCTTCATAACATCAAGGTTGAACCACTGTAGTCACATGTCTTTACAACCTTTCTGGGCATTGAAAGTTGTAATGACGTTGCAGTTTATGGCTGGTTCAGAAACCTCTCGGATTTCATCAAAAATACCTTCATTTGTGTTCCGAAGATAAATGAACGTCTTATGGGTTTGGAACGTCATGGGGGTGAGACATTTATTCCAGAAATGTAATTCTTGGGTGAACTATCCCTTTAACTCACCCTGCAGCATGCAGTCATACGCCTTTCGATCTCTCCTTCCCAAGGCCTCCCAAAAGCCTTGTGGTTCAGCTCCCTCATCACACTCCTGGATGGACACTTTACTGCTGCTGTGAAGCCCCGCCTCCAGAGGACATCTGAAAACCAGAACGTCTATGTTAGGGGTCAGCCACATTTGATACCAAGTGCCATTGGTTTGTATGACTTGACTCACTGCTCTTTTATTTTGTTTGCAGCGGCACAGGCCACATCACGTGTGTGCATCTGTGCCTTGCAGCCGTGCCACAGGTACATGCTGGCTTTAGGGATGTTCAGGAGGATCAAAGAGGTGCGAGAACGTAGGCTGCTACAGTGGCACACCACCTCCAGCAGATGGCCCTCTATGGGTTTCTCTCCTCTCACACAGTACAAGCGCCAGTCATCTGCACATGAAGAAAATTGGGTCAATCCATACAAGTGGTCCTCACTGCAGAGCCAAATGGGTGGAGCTTGAACTAGTCCAGGGATCTAAGTGGTGGGGCTGAACTTAAATAGGGATAAGATTATGGTTAGGTTGGACATTCTAGCTCCACCGATTAGGTCTAGAGAAGGGAAGCTGGATGCCATACAAGCTAGAACCGCCACTGCTCCACCCACTGGCTGGTTAGGTAGCAGTCTATCAGTCCATATGTTCAAAATATGACTATGTATTTGTATGTTGATTTAACTTAACGGGTAATGGAAAAATATGTAAACTAAAAATGTGGCAAAGAGATTACTCTGTGTATTTTCTTCCTCCTCTTCTCTCTTTCCAGCATGAACAATCATTCCTCCATTGAAGCACTGCAGGAAACAAGGAGGCTCCTTTCCCTGCTGTACCTGGACCTGCAAAACACACACACTTCATGTTAAACAGACCATTTATTGTTTTTATGCTAATATTTTTTATTTTTACATTACAGCTGAACTTATAAAAAGGACACAACCATTCAAAACGTTTAAGGTCAAGATGTTTTTTTTGTTTTTTTTTTAAGGGTTGGTATAATGCCCTTTTCATAAGATGCAAAATAAGTCTCTCATGTCTTCAAAGTGTGTATGCAAAGTTTTAGCAAAAATTGTATATAGCATATTAAAATTGTCACTTTTTGAGGGTGAGAAAAAAAAAGTCTGTGTCTGTCCTTTTTAATGCTTTTTACCTCACACAACACATGCACTGAACATTTCTAAAACTTCTAGTTTTTTATATTCAAACTGGAGTCAGACAATAATGGTGGGGTTTATTTAAATTTGCATTTGGGATATCACTAACCCTGTATGAATGTTGTGTAGTCCCTACCAGCTGGTTGTTGTAGTCCTTAAAAAGCAATTTCTTTAAAAGAAAATATCTCCCTTTGCTTTGAACTTTGAGCGTTGTAATTTCACAGATGTTTTTGCTCAAACACCAACATTAGACACTAAATAAATTTAGAAAAGTAAAATCATAATCAGCCACCACGAGGGACGCAGTCTAATGCCTTCTCCAAATCCACAAAGCACATGTGGATTGGTTGGGCAAACTCCAGCCCCCTGTAGAGGGTATAGAGCTGGTCCAGTGTTCCACGGCCTGGACGAAAACTGCACTGTTCCTCCTGAATCCGAGGTTCCACTATCGGCCGTATTCTCTTCTCCAGTACCCTGGCATATGCTTTCCCAGGGAGGCTGAGAAGTGTGATCCCCTGTAGTTGGAATACACCCTCATACACCCCCGGTTCCTTGCTGTTTATATCTATTTTTAATAAATGCTATTCTTTTGAGCTTTCAATTCAAAGAGAAAAAAAAAGTATCCCAGTGTCCACAACAATATTAAGCAGCACAACTGTTTTCAACACTGATAATAATAAAAAATGTTTCTTGAGCATAATACCTTTAAATGGTTGTGCATGAAATGCATAACATCCTATATTTTTTAAAAATAAAATCTTAAGTATTAAATAATCCATAGCAAGTACCTGAGCACCTCTCTCCTCATCTAGCTCTACAGTCATCAGTGCTGAGGTTCCCTTTTCATTCACCGTGGAGTTACGACCCTGCCAGAAGAAATAACAACATTTCTCCTTCCCTGGACCGATGATCCGTTCTGAATGCAGCCTCTTGCCAACTGCACAAAAAAAAAAAAAAAAAAAAAAGCAGAGAGTTAGGCAAACTAACAGCCCAGCAACATGATCAGACACACTGTACTGTCTCTTATGGTTTTACAGAGTGATCATGTGAGAGTAGCTGGTTTATGGCTGTTTATAGATAATTGTATGGTGGGGAGACTGTGGAATCAGACCTTGGAAAAGCAGCTTATTTTATAATGAGCATAAAATATTAAAATGGTGGAAATAAAGTGTCCCGGGAATTGAAGTGACAGACAGTCCTCTCTCCTGTGCACCAGTGATATTTTTATTATTATTTATAAACTACTAGTATTTATTAACATTACTAATCAATGTTTATTTGTACATTTCACTCTAATAGCTTGAGTCATTTTTATTAGCTTTTTATAATTCTCAATTTAATTTATTTTTATTTCAGGTTTAGCGATTTAAGTAATTTCATTTAGTTGCCAAAGCAAGTTTCTAATTTCTAAGGTTTTTTTTTTTTAAATCTAAAATTTGTCTGCTTGATAAAATAATTTTCAATAGTTTTAGTTAAAAACAACACTGCTACGCACACATTCAACATACAACTCACCTGCTGTGCTGATCATGTACTTCCATTTGACCACATACGTGTCCCCTTCATGGAACTGGCCAATGCTCAGTTTAGGTAATCGACTAAAACAAGCAAGAGAGAGAACGTTTGTACATAAAAATCCATTAATATTAATAGATTTACCATATAAATAATTCATCCTACCTGTAGTCAAACTCTAGAATGTGCCAGACATCAACGGACAATGTGCTGATCTCAAAATTACGCCGTTCATCACCTTCCACCAGTCCATAACCTCGTCCCACATCGACTCCATCCAAAACGGTCTTGACTGGCGTCCATACCGTTGACAACATCAGTGACGCATCATAGGGCCGACATTCCCCGCTCCGAAGCTCCTAAAAAAAATGAATCAACCAATTGCATTTCAAGATTAACTATATTTTAAAATATAATCAGGAGTATCTAATGTCTTAATACTTGCTTTTCAGAAAATAGCTTAATCTGTGAAAAATGTACCTTGTTTTCAACTAAAGCTGAGTCACCATTCTTCTTAGAGGATTTCTTGGTGTCACTCCAGTCCAAAAACTTCTCTTTAAAAAGAGTAGTCTCATTGTGCTGAGTTAACCTGCCAAACAAAGCCCAGTCTGGTCGTCCCTGGCCTTTCCTATTAATAACAGGTTCAGCAAAGACAATAATTGTTTTAATTTTATATGGATTTCATACAAAGCAAGGATAAAACTTTGTGAGAACAGAACAAACCCATGAGACATGAACACAGCACTCATTTATTTTAGGAGTGAGGCATCAGGCCTGCTGGTACCTCAAGTCTGTTTATACGAACACTGAGATACTAAGCTTTTGTTTTGACAGGTGTAGTAAGTTAAGCAACAATATATTTCTGACCTGAGAGGCCTCTCTGAACGAGCTTTTAAAGGTCACAAGTGCCAAAACTTGATCTATGATAGAACAATACACATCAGCAGAGCCTCAGCACATACTCAGCTCTGATTTGTACCTGGGTATAAGTTTGTTGCAATCTCCAGGGTCCAGGGGATTAATATCACAGTTGGTGTAGTCAAAGGTGCCATTCCACAAGTGCTTTGCCAGCTGAAAAGCCACTTTTCTCTGTGCCAGCGTCACCTCCTTACCATGCCATACATAGACCTCACTACCAAAATCCAACACCAGCACCTAGATGTCAAACAAGAATAAAAAGTTGGTTTGCAATTGAATAAGCCATTCTATTACTTTAGTTTGAATTATATACAATAGCATTCAGCAGAGATGATATGCAATTTTCAGATATTGGCCCAAGTAGGCTGATATTTATTTATTTATTTTTTTAAATCATACCAAAAATTACATTCTAAAGCAAGTTCTCTATCTTTCCCTTCTTTAATCATGCAAAATTGTAAACCGTATTTTGATTAAAGTGTAAATAAGATTAAATTAGTCAACAATCATGTTGTCAAGTACTTCTTTAGAGTTAAGCATGGTGCAGCGAGGAACTCGACCCCAGAAGTCATCTTCAGGAATAAGTTTATCCTCCATGAGCCTATAGATACAGTTGGTTTCTATGATGGCAGTCTCATAGAACTCATCTTCTTCTGGAGTGCCAGCAGCTGTAGGGTACAGAGGACCACATTAAGAAGGACTGCAATAAGTAAAGGTCATTAAAATGCAGCATTCCTTAGTATTATGCTTGTGTGAACAAATAAAATTGTTCATTCAAATGCTGCTGAATTGACATCAGATGAGGAACTACATAATATTTCACCTTGATAACTGGCTTGGCCGCCGAGAATTTTCCAAAACTCTTTGGCAGCCGGAGTGTGAGTGTTGGCACCTTCCTCGATGGTCTGCACATATGAGGCTCTGCATCCCAGGTCATGCTTGGTCTGAATGAACGTGGACAACTCTGCAGCCTGCACGATTGAAGATACAAGCACATTTCATTTTCATTTGCACCACTAATGTAATGTAATGTAATTTATTGTAATGTATAATATAATTCACACTGATCACAAAAATCCTCATATTTGCATTAAATTCATCCATTAAAAAAATCTATATACGTTTAAGACAATGGGCATTATTTAGTAAGGTAAGATGTAGGTCAAAGAGGTCAATGACCTGCACTCTGGATTGAACAAAGAAAGTTGTGTGTGTGTGAGAGAGACACGGGAGCTTTTACAATTCACCTCCTGCTTCCTTTACAAAAATATAACATTTCCTTTGTGGTTAATTCTGTTTACTTCCTGCACGTGGGGTACTCCACCGATATATGAATAGTACTGAACACGCCAAGGCAGAGTACAGGATATGACATGTTTAACTGTAACAAAATCCAATTGAGAACCAGAAAACACAATTTTGATATAGGGGACTAATATTGACATCTAGTACTAACCACCAGTGTTACTTTAGTATTATTTATATACTATTATGTTAATAATTAATAGTTTGAATTAATTGTTTTTATTTTCCATTTTAATTTTGGTTTAGATTTGATTATTTTATTTAGCTTTAATTTATTTTTATTTCAGTTTTAGTGATTTTAGAACTTTAATTAATTTTATTTCAGTTAGTTGTTTAGGCAACATTTTTTTTTAACTTTCATATAATATTTATATTTTATTTAAACACTTTTCAATAATTAATGAAGAATAGTTATTTAATAATTAGTTTTAATTAATCGTTTGGTTTAGTTAACAAAAGCAACACTGCTATCAGCTAGAGATTAAGCAATGTTAAAGGGATAGTGTGATGTGCGTTTGTTGGTGCATGCACGACACTCACTTTGGCCTTCTCAATAACATTTGCAAATTCTCCAATCCAGATGAAGCAATGATGAGGTGTAATCAAGAGGAAGCAGTCACCACTGTTCAAGGAGGAAGCTCTGGGCTCAACCAGTCTAGTCTGAACGTGCCGACGACCTAATTAAAATGCACAGAGAAATCGGGACAATAACAAAGTGAGTCACTTGCTAAATCCTCTAATGTCAGGAGCAAAAACACAAAGTGATTAGTTTTGATTGTACAGCATTATCTCAGTTCAATTTCGAACTCTAACTTTGTTAGTATGATATAAAACACAAGATGACAAATTGTAAATGTTATAAAATGTGATCTGAAAACAGATAAAATCAGAACGTCCTGGTAACAGTTGGACAATGCTGCTGTTCTTGGACTGCTCACAAGCTGCTCTCTCCATTAAGTCTATCTGGTTTGTTTCTCTCTGTTTTGATTAAGGGAAGTGTAGAATGTTGTTTTGGGAACATGCAGGTGGGGTTAGCTTGAGAGGGATGCCTTATGAGGAATTGGTATCCACAGCCTTTCTGCGTCCTACAACAACAGGCCCCACAGCAGCATCTTATGCAACATGAGGACAGAAGTTCTCCCATTTACTTTTAAGTAAACAACACTATTCATGGCTGTCTCCCTGCCATCTCTACAGGAACACACAGATAGAGCACACACTATGGCCACATTCACATAGCAACAGAAAATGGTCGTCAGTTCAGTGTCTGCATTTGGACTAGAGCAGAGGTCTGCGCAGGACTGTTTTTTCATCCCGCTAGGTACTATTTTGCACCCACCCACTCTCCTGCTTAATAATTCTTTCTCTATTCAGAATAATTATTTTCCCGACCATCCCGCTAAATTTAGATCTCGTTTCCAGAATCTCACATTTAAATTTCCCCAACTGAAAAAGAGATTGGATATAACACAAATAAAATGAAAAAACTAATTAAACACGATATCTGTCACTCAAAGTTATAAACGAAAACAATTGGCGCCATGTCGAAATAAAATTACTTTTTGAAACCATGCAAGAAAAGAATGTCATGACGAGAGCCACAGAATGCAGGAGAGCCGCGGGAATGCAGACTGGAGTGATAAAACGTTTCAGTTTTATTGATGGTGCCATCTATGATATTACACACTCTTGCTATAATTAGTATGGGCTCTATGCACGGCGGTATTTCTGGTGAAGGTGTAAGGATGCTCGATAACTTCCACCCATCGTAGAGTCCAATGCAACACTGAGAATTTATATTGAATTTTATACTCGATGGTTATACTAAAGAAACGTTAGTCACAAAAACAGACAAAACACACACCCCTCATTATGTTTATGCTTCTTTTTACATAACTATATATAAAATTACATCTAAACGTATGAAAGTTTCGTTTCAGGACAGTAAATTTTGAAGACTCTGCCATAATCCCGTTTTCCTCGGTTTTCCACCGCTTTAATCTCCCCAACCGGAAACTGACAAGCATCCTTGCGTCAAATGCGGAACTTATGCGTACATATAGCCCATTAATATGTGCTTGACTCCCATTGCACATTCATACAGGCACATTCATACATTGAGAGACACACCTTTAAGTAAATGCAGTTGTCAATCCCAAAAAAAATGACACGTAGCCAATGTGCACATAGCCAATGGATGGGTTCTAATCAAAAAACATTACTCTTCATAATCAAAAATAGTTGTGCATAAACAAGGTCAGAATGGATGATGAATATTATTGGCCTCTAATGGCTCATTTCCACCGAGCGGTACAGTACAGTGGGAGGGGGTAAACGCTGGTCCAGCTTGCGCTTCCTTTGATAAACGAACCCTTACTTGATAGATGCAATGTAGAAATCAATGTCATTCTTGTGCGAAGAAGAAAATGACAAAAAGCAGATCTTGTTCTTGCTTCTCAGAATGTCCCTACTTGTCACAAGATAGCTTTGTTTGAGCAAAGGCTGCAGTGAAAAACACAGCCAAAAAAAAATCTGCACAAGTGACAATCCTCTGTCTACCAATCAACTATCTGCAGGGAGTCTAGCTCCATCCTTTAGGTACCGCATCAGTTCGCAACAGGGGGGTCGCGGCCCACAAGAGGGGCCTTGTTTTGCCACTTGTTTGAAAACAACACATTTTGTCATCCTTGCTGCAAGCTTACAAGAGCGATAATATCATTAAATGTGAAGGGGGCCCTAAAATATTATCTAAGGAAAAAGGGGGTCTCAGACAAAAAAAAAAAAAAGGTTGGGAACCACCCAGACCAGACTACTGTGCTAGGTACACCAACAGAAGAGTTCCAAAAAGTGGTACGGTTCGGGATATTTGGTACCATTCACAATGTCTGACAATCAAAACAAAAATAATTGTGTACCGCTCATAGGAAACAAGCCATTAGTCTGCAGTGTCATCAGTAAAAAGAGTCCTCCATCCTGTCAATGAGCTCAAACATTGCAGATCACAAACCGCTGTTGTTGTCACGGTCACTCACCTTTGACCTGAATGAGCATGAGTTTTTTATATGGCATGGCACTGTTGTTGGAGCTCTGCTCAGAGGCGTTCACACTTCGCAGACTCACACTGCTGAAGTTTTCCTTACTCGCCAACCCAGCAAGAGCAACCTCAGAGAAACCGCTGTTCTTATTCACTATGAAATAAAGCACAATAACGAGAGAGAGAGAATGAGAAAGTGCAAAAGAATGAGCTATAGCATACCACAATTATTTTGAAATAGATATCTGAAATAGATATCTTATTATAACATTCTACAGTCAATTTTTTTAAAGCATCAATTTAATCTAATGCATCCTTGCTGAATAAAAGTAAGCGTATCATTTATTTTCACCACGCATGCGCACCAGTTATGTGCATGGCAATATATTAACAAAATGTGTATATAAAAAATAAATAAATAAATGTGTTCATAAACAACTCCACATCCTTCATTCACTTACTCTTTTCCTGTTTCATCCTCTTGCTCTCCAGAAGGCCGATGTTTAGCCTCTGTTCTGTGTATTCATGTCTGATGTCCTCCCGAACAGCCAGCATTTTCAGAGGGTTTCTGGATGACTGAACATTTCTGGTTGGCCGTACCGCCCGCTTGTGTTGCACCATCTCTGAGGTCAACCTAAAAAAACATGTCAAACAACGTTTCAGAAGTTCCTCAATCTCACGCTTGTTTAATTTCAAGATGTAAATAGATCAATTAAATTGTCAATAGAACAAAATATGTCTGGTTAGTTATTGCAACAGAGATTATATTAAACTCTACTGTAATAGCCACACTTTGTTTGGTTTTACCTGGGCAGCTCCATTCCAAAGATGGCATCAAAATCGTCATTGATTTCCACTCTGCTGGTAATCTTGGCTATATCCTCTGTGTGTCGATAAAACTTATCGAAGGTCTCATCATCCAGAGTCATGACCTCTTTAACAGACTTCTCTGTGACTGCAATTGTGGCCTCCTGAAGTCCTGCAACTAAGAAATGTATAGGAATACAAGCATTAAAAAGACATTTTAATTTTAATTTTAAGTTGATATTGTAATGAAAGTCCTCCGAGTCAAGCGTAGTGAGAACCCAAGTTTTATTAACAAAACTTGAACAAATACAAAAATAAACAGACATGGCATGACTAGGCTTGAGCATGAACATGAAACAAATTGGATATGGACATAAATTCAACAAACAAGGGTACAGGAAACCAAGCTAGAGAGAGACAATGGGAACATTAGGGCTAATTATACACATGGGCTAATCACTAAACAAGGAACACCTGAACACAATGAACCAATAAACCAGTGAGAACACCACAACACACGAACCAATGGAAGCACATGAGGAAACAAAGAATCACATGACATGGAAACATGATATCTGATAGACATCACACATCAGATATGTCTGATTACAAAATAAAAGGCATCCAAGCATGAACTTGAACAGAAACCAAAACCAACTGTGATATCGGAGAAAATATGTTATCTCTAGGGTGCATTACACACTTTCTTTTTTCATACTAACCTTTACCGTTGAGACGACCAAGGAATGACTCCAACTTTTCCAGCTTCATGTCTGACTCCAGCTTCATGTCCTGTCTGACTTCAATCTCTAGAAAGAAGAAAATGCAGTAGTGATATAAAAATGTATGATATGCATATAAAAACATTCAGGGACCGACATTGAAGAAAGAGGAAAGGAAATCTGATTGGAAGGAAGGGGAGTGGAAGGAGGAAATGAAACACAAGCTGAGTACAAGCATGGCTTCTCACCTTCGTGTGGCTTTGAGATTGTATGGGAGGCATTCTTGTTTTTAGCGGACAGAGGGGACAGCACTGGATTTGTAAGAGCAGAAGGTGCTGCCAGGCCTGGAAAGAGAAAACACGGGGGAAATTGTTCTTAACTGCACATTGTTACAAAACAAAACCATTTTCAATATATTTTATCCACACAGTACAAAAAAAAAGCTCATTCTGTGTCACTGCAGTAAAGTAATAAAATATGAATGTGTGCATTTTTCACTGACCTTTTTTAACCATACGACCAGCCACTGTGAACTGAGTGGAGTCATTGGCTGCTCTGTAACCTTTGACCTTCCACGCATCCTCTTGCGAGGCGATGAGCTGCTTGCGTTCCTGAATCGACATCTCTACTCGATCACTCCGCTGGTTTTCCTCCATCTCATTTCCCATCCTCTGGGATGCCAAAGGAGAAACTAAATTAAGCATCTGAGCAAGTTTATATCATTGCCAGGGCAACTTTTTTCACACTTCTACCAAAAAATTCTTTAAATGGCAACACATTATTTTACAGTGTCCGTGTTACACAATACATGTATTTACTATAGTAATTACTATAAATTGTGCATAATTGCATGCAACTAATCCTAATTCTAACCCCATGGTAAGTTCATGTAGTTAATTTTTATTACTCGGTACTACGATGTATAATTACACTGTAACACGGACACCTTCAAATAAAGTGTAACCATTTAAATATCTTTACGATTTTAATCTAAAAAAAAAGGATGCACAGTTGATAAATATTACAATTGTAAAAGTAGTGAGAGAAACAACTTCTCATAAGAGATAATCAAAACAATAGTGTAAATTAGAATTTTCCGAACATTAACCTGCAAACACTAGCTCTGAAATCAAACTATTTATATATAGCCAAAATAGCTAGTAACTGAAAAAAACCACACTGACCATACATTTACATACATTACAACAACAGTCTCAGTGTTGTGTTGTGTTATGGAGGAATAGTGGATGTGTGTTTGGGGGTGAGAAGCACCTTCCGTCTCCAGGGGTGACGCTCATCCACCTGCACGGGCAGGGGGGTAGCCTTCACACGGAGGGAAGAAGCAGGAAGACAGATGGGAAGAGAGAGGGATGAGAAAAGAATGGAAAGAAAGGATGAAAGATGAGAGGATGCATCCTAGACTTAAAAGGCTCTTATTAATAGACAGAGGAAGCTGATGCATCACTTGAGATCTCACCACTGACCAGTTAAAAGACCAATCATTGCTGTCTTTAATTATACAAGCTTGTAAGCATACTATCATTTGGTCATGATAATAAAGATGGGTAGAAAGGTTTATAATATATAATATAAAGGTTTAAGCAAAGTATATAGAAACATATTCAAATTTACATACAAAGCCATTTTAATATCAAGAGAGTTTCCAAGAGTAAATAAATAGTATAATAAAAAAATAGTTTTTTTTAAATAAATAGTTTCCAAGAGTAAATAAATAGTTTTTAAATAGTAAAAGGATGTTCCTACACATCTGTGTTTGACATCACAATTGTTATCTTTAAAGGGTTGGTATAATGCCCTCTTCAAGATGTAAAATAAGTCTCTGTCCACAGAATGTGAAGTTTTAGCTCAAAATACCCCACAGATAATTTTATATAGCATGTTAAAATTGTCACTTTTTGAGGGTGAGAAAAAACACACCGTTTTTGTGTCTGTCCATTGAATAAAAATGAGATTGAATCAAATAATCTTCTGCTTCCTGCACAGGGGGCGGAGCTACAACAGCTTGTGTCCTGAATTTCAAAAACTGTTAGACTATTACGTTCAAACCGGAGTCAGACAATGATGGAGAGACTCAAGAAGTGACAACATTTCTGAATGGTTAGTTGATGAATTTATGTAGCTTGTGTAGCTATCTTCTAGTCATGGATTAGCATATTCTGTCATGATAATCTATAAATCATGTTCCCCGGGTGGGGTTTATTTAAATTTTAGGGTTTGCGATGTCACTAACCCTGTATGTATGTTGTGTAGTCCCTACAAGCCATTTGTTGTAGTCCTTAAAAAGCAATTTCTTTAAAAGAAAACATCTGCCTTTGCTTAACTGAGTGATTGTAATTTCACAGATGTTGTTTATGCTCAAACAGCAACATTACACACTAACTAAAGTTAGAAAAGTAAAATCATAATCAACCACCCCTTAAAAATGTCTTTAAACACTATCCTATATTTTGTAAGATGAACTTATGGAAACAATTTTTAGGATAGGAATTTGTATAGTGTGAAAAATAACACTGGGAAAAAAAAGACAGGATGTCAGAATCAGAGGGTGGAACGGGGAGGAGAGCTTACATCGGATGGGTGTTTTTGCTCACCTTGGGGAGGATTGCTATTTGATCCAGTGGTTCAGATGCACATGAAAAGGAGGAGGAAAAGACAGGATCCTACAGGACAGAGAGGGGAATCAAGACAAAAGATGGAGAGACATATGACAAAGCAGGAAGGAAAGAAGAGGAAGTTCAGGGACAGACATCAGGCAAGTGACATTGGTCTAGTCTTAGACACAATGCCAACATATCATCAAAGTAATTTGCTAGAATGCTAAGGTCAAACCTAGAGTACAAAACTCAACCACAAGCCTCGCACAACCACCCTGAATCTGAGTGAATTCAAATCTTTCTCCAAACTAACTACTGTCAATCAAGCAGCTTCAAAAGAAACCACGATGAAAAGTGCAAAAAGAAATTGGAGGGCAGATACAGTACTATAAATAAATATATTATAAATTCACAGGCTCATCGTTTACATTTTAAATGTTTGAATGATATGGTCCCAGAGGAGGCAGATCAGTAGAAACTAAAATTGGGAGTAGCATTTAAATCTAACGTGACTAAAGCCAACTAAAAGTCTGTAGCCTTAAGAGTGGTTGAACAAGGCAATTAATTAACCACACCATAACCATCACCACAGGGTAAAATGACAAAGTCACCAAAATGGCTGTTAAAATAAAAATTAAAAAAATAAATACTTCTTGGCATTTCAAAATTCATACCGTCACCATGGTAGTTATGTAAGACCACCAAGCAAAATCACCACCACAATCAACTGGCTCATCCTGAGTTGATGACAAGGTCCGAAAACCAGGACAGCACACAGACATCATCATGATTACAAGGTCAAGGATGAATTAAATACAAACAGAAAACCATAACCCTCGTACACTGACAAAACCCATGCTAAGCCTATTAGCATGGTGGCTAACGGCTAACAGCCTTACCCAGAGTTGATCAGACACAGCAAAGTCATCTATCATCATCATCATCCCATCATCCTAGAAAAAGGGGTAAAATGAACAGGGAAGAAATGACCCCGTACTTAAAGCTTGGAAATGAAAATTAACAGTGAATCTGGTTACTGAGAGAAATAAATATTTTATAATGCAGCTTGCACTGTGGCTAACTGCATTGATTATAAACATAAAACACTGTGATTCTTGATATGATTGCAATCCCATTTGTTAACACAGTATGAAAAAAAATGTATAAGGTATTTAGATGTATAAATGCCTTTAAAAAGTCGCAATGAAACAGAAGCAGGAAGCGACAGATTTTTATGTGATGTGACGTACATCAGAGTGAAACATAAGCGAAGAAAGTATTGCAGGGCAGGTTCTAATGTTCTATCCATTGCTTTTCGAATGGATGGGGGCATATCTGCAAGCAAGCTGTTGTAAGTGGTTCTACTCGCACTGTTTTGAGCTGGATTCAAACCAGTGTCACTGGCATGTAAGGCGGCCATTCTAACAAGGGCCCTAAAGACGTCTAACAAGGGCCCTAAAGAAGTAAAGGGGCAGGGTTAAAGCAGACTAAATAACTGGAGTAGTCTGGCATACATGACCAAAGAGAAGTCTATCATTTCCACAAAAAATCAACTTATATTTGAATGCAAAGTTAAGAGGTCAAAAATAAAAATAAAATAGATAAAGATAGATAAATCATTCACAATAAGATAGACTATGTGGATTTTGACTTTCGCCCTCATTGCTTAAGAAATTTAGATTTTACAAAATCTGATCTGCCAGATCATCAGCTAAATATTGGTTATAACGATAGCTAATTCCCTTCTCTTAACTAGCATATGATAAGTGATATTACCACACTACTACACTTATGCAACCTGCAATGAAGTGACTGAAACAGTCTTCAGAATAAATCCAAACAGAGAATGGCACGTGAAACCCCATTGCACTAGAGAATTACTAAGAAGCATGCAAAGATGTTAAACATTTTTTATTACAATAAATGATGTTATAACAATAAAAACACAAAAACATGCAGTAAAGAAGTGGAGTGGCAGAAAGACAGATTCATGCAAGTTAACACATACAGTCTCAAACATGCTAATAATCCAGAATCTATTGCTACAAAGATGTACACATGCATTACGACCAACTTCCCTCTACTAGCCCAACCGAAAAAAAAGGATCACCCATTAATGCTCTGGGACCAACATTCGTGCTGTGACTTTTAAAATAAATTTTCTGATGTCAGTCATTATAAATTAGGGGTGCAAAATGTGTCTAATTTGATCATTTCCAAACATCATTAACAATGAAAAAGTCTACACCATTAAAATTAAATGTGGAGCAGCATGCACTGAGCAAACAGAATAAGTGCAAATTAGTGTTCTTGAGAAATAAATAACATTGTGAATATGACCAGAAAGAGCAAATAGAAAAGGACAAAACAAAGAAATGAAAATAAATAAATAAATAAATAAATAAAGGAGAGCACTAGGGGTGGGCAATATGACCAAAATTGTATTTCACAGTATGAAAAATTGTATTTCACGATAACGAGATCTAATTAAATTACAGTTATTAAAAATATGAACAAAAGCAGCAAATTACAAGTAGGACAAATATTATAAAGAAAACTTGCACCCCCTTATGGGAGGAGCAGGTCGTGTGTTTACAACGGTGACAATGGCGCGTATCAAGAACAACTAAACGCTGGATTTTCAAAAGTATATATAAAGTATGTAAAGATCACGGCATAGACTATTTCAAATACACCCAAGAGTGTTTTATTGTAAGGACATCAAGGTTACATTTTCATGCCCCTAAACATAGGAAAAGAACAAACTGTGATTGGTTGCTTTACAAGTCAGTCAGGTGGCCTCTGGGCAATCACTGGCCAAAAGTCTGGCTGCGCGAGCACCAACCGCTTGGAGTTCCTTTTTTTTTACATCTTATTGCGCTCAACATCAAGCACGTCCCACTTTTTCTTTCTCATTCATGCATGTTTTTTTATCACTCTTCGAGTATACAACTTTAAGTGGTGCTGTGCTAAAAGGATATATATTTACATACGGTGAAATAAACTATACAGTAAAATCTCTCGGTTCATACCGTGGACACGATATATACAGTCATAATGCCCAGCCCTAGATAGCACACACCCTTCTCTGTTTAGAGTTACTCAACTGCACAAAGGGCAATTCTATGCTAAAGGATGAACTCTTCTGAAATACTGAACTATGCAACAAATGCAAATAAAATGACTAAAATCACACAATTAACCAGTTGCATGATATTTGCTCTGCATTGCCTAGAGCTGATAATACAAGATGCTATTCATCAACCTAACAACAGCTGTTGAATACACATGGCATACAAAATTAGACAATGAACCGTGACCTATGACCTGTAGAGTCAGGTGAGACAGTTCAAGGTTCAGAGGTTACCTTCTTCTTGAAGCTCTGCTCCACTTCCCATAGCTGGGCGTGTCTTTCAGACACAGCAACCTGCACCACATCCTGTTTTTTATTTATCCTGTTCCTCCAGTCTTCTTCTCCACTCTTCTTCAAGAGGGCCAGCCTGCAAAAGACAGAATCTTATGAAGAATCTTCCATCTTAATTATTAAATATATTGCCTTGAGAACACATTTGAGTTAAATGCTAGAAATTAATTTTGTAGATGCATTTTAATTTATCCTACTTTCGAATTTCTTTACAATTTTCATTTACACTTTAATGGATGAAATAGAACCAAACAAGAGTCAAACATGCATATGCACTGCTGGAAAAGCAACCCAAGAGGACACCTCACAAATAATGTCTAATTTGATGAAGCTAACTGAAGAAGAAACTGTCAACCGTTAAACGAAAGTAATTCAATTACTAATTTGTTTAGATTAAGTTACATTGAACTTAAGTCTGTGCTCCCAAGCTTAAAATGACCCCTTTTTATGACATTTGTCATCAACAGACCTGTGTGTAACCTTTTTTTAAATGACACACAAGGGTTAAGTTTAGATTTTTAAGTTTATTCAATGTCTGTTTATGTAATTTCATCATTTTAATAACTTTGCTATTATAAAAAAAAAAAAGTAAAAAAAAATATATATATGGTATATAAAAAAAAACAACTGGGTGTGTTAAAACTTTTGATTAGGATCGTCGAACCAAACATGACAAACAGAAAATTATATTGCAAATCTATCACTGTTGAAAAATAAACAAAAACAACAACGCATAGGCATTTTTCATGCTTATTCACACACATTTAAGCCAACTCATTTCAAATGTGTTGCTACATATTTGTATCTTAGTGGTTTTCATTATGTCATCATTATTAATCAATTTAAACAGCTTGCGTCAGCTTGCTTCCTATGGCAACAGACAGCTACCCATCAGTTACACAATACTTTGATCTCTAAGCGTACACAGCAGTACAGATCTGACTAAAACCAATCAATGAAAAAATACACAACACCATATAGAGTTACACTGAAATGGAATATCCGTCTCTCTTCATCTGTATGCTTAATGTCAGACCACAACACAAGGATGCAGTCAGACGGTATCATTTTTAACAATGAACTAGTCTTAAGTCAAAAATTGTATACAGACTTTGACCATTTGATACATTTCCATTTCTAAATGTACATTTTTTATCCTAGCTCTCACTCTAATTGGAAAGGACAATGCAACTATATTTATTTGACATATATTCAAAAGAGACACAGAGCAACCTACTTTCCACAAATAGTCAAAGTGGAACCCAGTTTGAAAAGACTACGGCACCACCAAAAAATATACAATTTACAATGTCCTGCTTTATACAAAAAAAAAAAAAATGGAGGAATGTTTGTTTTCAACATCTACAGTTTAAAATAAATTGTCCTATTCCAAGGACAGAACAACAATAGGACATTCTGCTGGCTGACTTCTATATAAAAAACAAACAAAACAAAAAAAATCGCGAACTTTTCAGAAATATCATTACGGATATTTCACACTTTCATACACTTACCTTTCTTTGATGGACATCTGTCTAGCAGACATGATGTCTGAGAGCTCGTCTCCCTCCTCTGTTTTAAAGTCCGTCTCCTGCTCTTCTTCTCTCCTGTCGTCCTCTAGGAGGGGTCCGGCTGACTCTGCGTGCGTGTGTTGCGCAAGAGAGTCACTCCGTAATACAGCTGGCTCTGCACGTACTGTGGCTATGTCCACAGGAAGATCTGTTGAACACAGACACAGGAAAGGGTTAGAGCAGCTCCAGTGATACCATCAATAACAGCTCAGTGATAGGCGGAGCCACCACAGACACCCAAAACACAGCAAAACTCTCTCTCACACATTCAGTCCCGTCAAGAGATGACGCTCATGTAAGCATGCAACCACACAGTAATGAACACTGCGATGAATAAGAACTGCTACACAGGAAGTGAGTACGTTTCTAAGCATAAAGGGAAGCTTTGTTGCCAATGATGTGCAACATGTGGCTTACACAGACATCTTTGTCTTTTTAAAGGGGGGATCTTTAAAACCATCAGCCTGCATGACAGACACAAAACAGGAAGACGCAACAGAAGAGACGCACATCACATCCTATCCACACCTATCTGTTTTGTTGTCACATTGATATCAGCAAAGAGCACATGTACAGCGGTCTCTGGAGGAAACCATCATAACAAGCCATCCCTGATAAAACAAAGTACTGTACATGACTGTCTGAATTGTGTATGATGGGGTAAGATGAACTTAAATTTCCTCTTAGCCACATGTAACCAAATCTAAATGTTTTCAAAGTATTTTTGTTGATCGGGATTTGCAGGTACAGTAATTATTATATATATATTTTATTTTATTTTAAAAGGTAAAGTTTGTCACAGTAAAAGCCTCCACAGGGTATGGTGTAATTTTAAATAATTCCATTTAACTCATTTTTTACAAGGTTTCCCCCCTTTATTGTGATTGAGACTATTTAATTTGAATGTTTGATTTATTCTTTTTAATTAAAGACACTTTCTTAAAGAATAGACAACAGTTATATGTTTTTTTTGTTTTTTTTTAAATACATACGAGTATAAGACATATGATGTCTTATACTCACTAAGTCTGCATTTGTTTGATCAAAAATACAGTAAAAACATTAATGGTCATACAGTCTATGCGACGGCACTGCAGCTAACGACATGGAGTCTGATAACACCAAAAAATGACCTGCCTCCAGCACAACACAGACTCCAACACAAACTCCACATAAATATAAAACAAAACAAAAATCTATCTGCTGAAGCTCGTCAGGCCAAACGTGAATCAGATCGACTTCGGCAGAACGTTTGAATTATGGAGAGACATCCGCTATTTTTTATAAGTTTTCAGATATGCTGAAATTAATAATGGTAAACTGTAATGAAATAGCAAGGTAAACTACAACATATGAGACATGAAATGAATACAAAAGACTGTTCCAGGATAACAAAAAGTAGGTGCTTTAGGATGTAACTTACTAGTGTTCACCCACTACTATAATATTGTTTATAATACACTTCCAGACACGTTCAGTACAGTATTGTTACTTCCTACGATCTTACTGTTACACTGAAATTGCTCAGTCTAGTTCATTAATCGTTTTTTTTTTTTTTTTCAGGATTCTCAGATGAATAGAAAGTTTAACAGCAGCACTTATTTGACATAGAAATCTTTTTTTTTACATTATAAATGTCTTTACTGTCACTTTTGAACTATTTCATGCATTCTTAAGTATTACTTTATTTCAAAAACATCTCTCGGACCCGAAAGTTATACTTGGCAGTATAAATTATTAATAATAACATCAGATATATTTAACATATTGAGCAAATATTATTATTGCTGGGATTATTGCTGGGACCTGACGCTCATCCTAGGGGGCTTTCTGCTCTATTAAGGGGCTCATCTTAGCCTGGGTTTCCCCATACTGCCTTTGCGCAGTGCGATTATTCACGCTGCTAGGTAGTCTGGATACCATGGAACAAATTTTCGCCTCGGCGAGGGGACCAATCACAGAACGGGGAGGGAGCAGCAACACGATGACGGCGTCTATGAGACACAACGAAGCAGTTTGTTTATACCTATGGATCAAACATGGCAGCAGACGCAAAGTTACCTTTCGATGCAGCCTTAGATGCAAGTAGTTTAAAACGCAAGTATTTTTAGTATTGATAAGTAGTTTAAAACGCAAATAAATCTCTGACCCATCGTCTTTTTCCTTGTCTAATTTCTGTCGCTCCTACATACGTCATCTGGTACAATTGAAACGATTGCCTATGATGAGCTACGTACAGGCACATTTTATAGAGAAATGGGTATAGGAGGAAAGATGGCACTTAAAACACAAATCAAATACACCACCAATATTCCTCTACCTGACATGGCTGCCTTTGACTTGTGCTCTCCATCTGTTTCTGAAAGGTCCTGAGAGGTCACCAGCACCTTATGGTCCCCTTTAAGCTCCTCCCAGTCTTTGGCCGGCTGAGCGTGTGATGTCCGCTTCATGGTCTCTGGAGATGGCAGCTTCCTCTTCCCTATGTTCAATGCCAGTCTTTCTCCTTGGGTCACCAGGGACACATCTGGACTCTGGTGTGACTGGATCTCTTGGGCAGGTTGAGGATGGTGAGTTGGGGAGAGGGTGTTCTCATAGTAGGCAGGGCCAGATACATTGGACATGGGCATGGTCAAGTGGATGTCCCCGGCATGTTCAGTTGAAACAGTGGAGGATCTCAGAGCCGAGGTGGACGCAAAACGAGCTCCACCCGCAGGCTGCAGCTATAAGAGGACAACAAAAGAGCGATGGAGGACAGGAGCAGATGGTATAATGGGAAATAGAGTAGAAGGGAAAAATGGAAGGATTTGAGAGTAAACCGTGTGAGAAAGACAAAGGAAAGATAAGAGCAAGATGATAGATTGAGGGGAAGGTGAAAGAGATGGGGGTGAGAATAAAAATTGAGTCAGCAAGGGGCAGGAAACAGCACATTCATCAACAGTTCATCAGCACACGCGTTGATCATGCTGACTAATCAGAGGCTGACTAAGTGCATTTCCTGTAGCTGAAAGGCAAGCATCAAATCAGCCAGCCACTAACACAGCCATTCACAAAACCATGCCCTTTATGCACTGAACCAAACTGTACCCATCATGCCCTCAGAAACAGACACATTGAGTCACAGACTCAATCAGTAATATGTCAACTCTACTGTGTCAAGCAGGGTTTTAGGTAGAGCTGTACATTCAGAACAAGATCACAGACAACCAACTGAAGTAATCATTTAGCAAATTGCGCCGACTCATTTGTCCCGTTAGCTTAAAGCTACACTGTAACTTTTGGAGCTCTAGTGTTTAATAAACAAAACTGCACTTGCCTTGCAGAAGAACATTGAAGCCAGAGCTACTTCTCTCTGTTTATGTGTATGACAAGTCACAATACTGAACAAAATGTGTTAACTCAAATTACATGCGAAATTGGTCCTGAGCGCACACCTGTTTGCGTTTAGAAATTCCACTCATAGTGGTCATCCATCACAGATATCCAAATGTATATAAGCCTTGATTACTGTTCCAATTAATAAGTTTAAGTACATATAACATATAAACTTACCTAAAGGATTATTAGGAACACCATACTATGTTTGATCTTCAGAACTGCCTTATTTTTACGTGGCACTGATTCAACAAGTTGCTGAAAGCATTCTTTAGAAATGTTGGCCCATATTGATAGCATACAGTAGCATCTTGCAGTTGATGGAGATTTGTGGGATGCACATCCAGGGCACGTCCCAAAGATGCTCTATTGGGTTGACATCTGGTGCCTGTGGGGGCCATTTTAGTACAGTGAACTCATTGTCATGTTCAAGAAACCAATTTGAAATGATTCGAGCTTTGTGCATTATCTTGCTGGAAGTAGCCATCAGAGGATGGGTACATGGTGGCCATAAAGGGATGGACATGGTCAGAAACAGTCCTCAGGTAGGCTGTGGCATTTAAACGATGCCTAATTGGCACTAAGGGGCCTAAAGTGTGCCAAGAAAACATCTCCCACACCATTACACCACCACCACCAGCCTGTACAGCCTGAACATGATGGATCCATGTTCTCATTCTTTTTACGCCAGATTTTGACTCATTTTGATTTTTGCCATTGATTTTTGCCTTTGATTTTTACCATCTGAATGTCTCAACAGAAATTGAGACTCATCAGACCAGGCAATGTTTTTGCAGTCTTCAACTGTCCAATTTTGGTGAGCTCTTGCAAATTGTAGCCTCTTTTTCCTTTTTGTAGTGGAGATGAGTGGTACCCGGTGGGGTCTTCTGCTGTTGTAGCCCATCCGCCTCAAGGTTGTGCGTGTTGTGGCTTCACAAATGCTTTGCTGCATACCTCGGTTGTAACGAGTGGTTATTTCAGTCAAAGTTGCTCTTCTTGCTTGAATCAAAAAGTCGGCCCATTCTCCTCTGACCTCTTGCATCAACAAGGCATTTTCGCCCACAGGACTGCCGCATACTGGATGTTTTTCTCTTCTCACACCATTCTTTGTAAACCCTAGAAATGGTTGTGCATGAAAATCCCAGTAACTGAGGAGATCGTGAAATACTCAGACCGGCCCGTCTGGCACCAACAACCATGCCATGCTCAAAATTGCTTAAATCACATTTCTTTCCCATTCTGACATTCAGTTTGGAGTTCAGGAGATTGTCTTGACCAGGACCACACCCCTAAATGCATTGAAGCAACTGCCATGTGATTGGTTGATTAGATAATTGCATCAATGAGAAATTGAACAGTGTTCCTAATAATCCTTTAGGTGAGTGTATATACACATTCACACATACACTGTCACTTGGGCAGTTATTTACCCTTAAATGGTACATATTAGTACCTTTTGAAAGGGTATCGCCCCAGTGACGGCCTTTGTACGCGTTTTCCCCTGATATATAAATAAAAAAACACCATCATCCAAATTATCAATATGTGATTATCAAAGACAAAACATTATGCCTTATTTCAAAAGAACTTTACTTTACCGCCTGTACTCGAGCTACCAGCAATCTGGAACTACATTCATATAGCAGCACACCAAGGTCGATAACTGTAACATTAACGATAAGATACCATTTTAAAAATCATTCTATTTAAAAGAAAAGTCCACATCACAACTATAATGATAACAGAGAAATTATATTGGAATCGCTTTCAAAAAAATTCCCAGCTGATGAATGATAGACTATTGACAGCCAACCAGAATCCATTCTGCTTTAAAGACAGATCTCAAGCACAGAGTTATGTTTTGGTGTAGTTATTGTTATAGTTCTTATTCTTGGTGTGAACAGGCCATTAAAAGACTTCTTTGGGAATGTAGGATTTTCATTTAAGCACTGTACTGTACTGCCATGGCACATAGGGACATATATGCTGAAGCAATAAAACAACTGCTTCTAAAACACTGGACAATGGTTTTACAGCAGGCAGTGTAAAACCTTGGGTTCTATAAAGCATCATAAGATTCTAGAGGACTCAGGCATCCTCACATGTTCCAGATCACTCAGATCCTCTGAGAACTCCGATTCCTCGTCAAACATCTCAGAACCAGAACCATCCTGCATCAGAAATAAACCCCTTTAAATGTTCAAAGCTCAATCATGTGTGTGTGAGAGAGAGTGTGAGTACCATGCCCATTGTGTACCTGGCTGCTAATTGTTGAATCGACAAAATAAAAATAAAAAACATCAGCTATCAAAAGTTTGTGGAAAGACATTTTTCAATGGTTAAGCGGTAGGGTTAGGCTGTCATTTTATCCCTCACAGATTTTTTTACTTTTTATAGTAAAATTTTAAATAGTGCGTCTAAAATAAGACTGGACTTTTTTAGGTGAAAGCTATTCAGACTTGACTGCCAAAGATTCTGAAGGACATCCAGTGTACACTTTACTATCCCATTAGGCCAGGAGAGGATTTGTGAATGCGTTACATTCATACAACATAATTGTCATGAAGGATTAAAAAAAAAAACTGTAGATGCAGCCTATGACTTCTCAGTCCTACTGAACATCCTTTCTCTTACAGGATACATTTGTTGGGCTATGTCGGTTTCTGTCTGACTGGCTTTGTAGCTTAATTGTTTGTTTGCTTGTTTATTTATTTTTTGACTTTTCTCTATACCTCCAGTATTTAATAGACATACACTATATGGCCAAAAGCATGTCCACACCCAAACACCATATGTGCCTAAATACCATATGTACTTAATTTCATGACCAGTCGTGATTCATGATTTAAATGACATGAGTAGTAAAGTACTAAACTGAGTCAATTCTCATTTGTAAAATGAATAAGCATGGCTTAATTATTCAATGAAGGGAGAGACATGGTACGTACCTGTTCAACCTCTCCAAGTGTGATTGGCTGAGTCTGGTACCGAGTGTTGTTTCTGCGCGCACGAGTGTCTCCTCTGGGCCGAGAGCCGTGGTTAGAAGGCTGTGCTAGACGATTGAAGAGTGCCATCTTCTCTGCCAGAGTGAGAGTGGAAAGGTCTGGTTCCTCTTGGCCATCCTCCCCTGGGGATGCATGGCGAACATGATCCGTCTCTGCCGCCACTTCAGTCAGCCGTACCTCTCTGGCCTGTTCCCTCAACGTGGAGGTTTGCTGAGACGATGCCTGCAAGCTGTATGACACATCCACAACAGGAACACTCAGTGTGTTTCATATGAAATTCATTACATCACCTGGGCTAGGCGGCATGACTATTTACAATGTGCAATAAAAGATAATAATAAAGAAACCACACCATGTTATCAAGTTACATGTTATAGATTAAAAACACATGCATGTATAGACTTTACAAGCAATTGGGTTTCATGTAACAATTTGAATAAAGCAGAATAAAAATGTAACCACAAAGAAAAATTGGCAATTTTTCTTAGACATGTATTCATTTGTGTGGGTATATGGACTGTTTTCATGCACATTTAATTATCTTCGAATAAATATTATAGTAGCATGTGCAGACAAACGTGTCATGCTGTTTTAAATGGTCAACATGTGTCTGGTGAAGCAAAAATAAACAAGTGGCATGACTTGAATCCCCCCCAGCAATTTACAAGCCATTCAGACCTAGTTTTGATGGATTTTTATTATTTCATGACATTACAAAGGCTTACTAACAATTCCCTTAAGTATACAAATCCGTGGCTAATATATAAAGTACTATCCAGATGCTTAACCAGTACTGTAGTTCAACAAGTCAGTGAAGGTCAGGGTCAGTTTATTTGTTGTCAGGAAATATTGGGTGTGCCAAATTCTCACTCTTAATTCTAATGGTAAATTTAAGCACGACTTATTGTTAGACAAATGTTCTGTGTTGGCTTGACAGTACCACAAGAGGGTGCTGCTTCTTTATTACATCCGTCTTCCTACATAAACAACAATCCCTTGACAAGCACATTTTTAAAACTTAAATATATAAACTACCCTTCAAAATTTGGGGGACAGTAAGATTTTTTTATATATAAATTAATACTTTTATTCAGCAAAGACTACACTTTTCTCATGGTGCATGGATCTACAGAGATTCTCTCGGGATGCTCTCAGTGACAATCATTAGTACATTAGTAATCATAAGTGTGACCATGCCTGTGAAACACACGCTCATGTAAGTGTTTATATGCATGTTCTGAGTACCTGACTTTGGTCACAGAGCTGTTGAGTATAGAGTGACTAGGAACACGCGCTACAGAGGTTTGTACAGTCGCAGACTGTGACAAGTGGCCAGGGACACTTTAAACCACACAGAGAAGGAGGGAAACAAACAGAGACAAAGGAAAAAACTGAAGGAAACTGAAGAAAACAGATCAGAAATATACACATCACATGAAGTAAAAGGAAGGGATAGTTGTAGGGAAAATTGCATTGAGTAGAATGTACTGTACATCCATATTAAATTGTTTCTAGATACATATAATGCTTATCATAGGGGGTCACTTCATGAAGTCCCCCGAGTCTTTCTGATTGATCTTGAGGCGAAACAGACCGGAGGCCCATGCCCGCTTTTAACCATAACTGCAGAGAGCGCATGCGAACAAACCCAACTGGAGTACTGATGATGCTGAGGCCATGAGACCCAGCATTTTATGAAATCTTTTGAGCGGGACTATAGTGCCATAGCGGAAGGATTTTGTGATGCGCTGAATGTTCAGTCTGCGCTCTGGTGACAGTCGTGATGTCATAGACAGCGAGTCTAGGTCTGTGCCCAGAAAAGATATTCTCTGACTGGGAATTTTTTTACTGTATTTTTGATTAAATAAATGCACCCTTGGTGAACATAAGAAACTTCTTTCAAAACATTAAAACTCTTAGACATGAATAGTAATTTACTGTATATCTTGAGAAATGTTCATGTTGACTGTAGATGTGGAACCTAACAAAGGGAAACATTTGAGTTTTCCTCCTCTAACTTAAAAATTGTTCCACTTTAAAGATCTAATGGGTCACATACAGTATGAACTTACGTAGCAGCAATGACCACTTCCTCTGAGGTGACCGGCTGAGTGCGGGAGCGATCCTGACCTCTCCTCAACCTCCGTTCAACGGCAGGATTACGGCTCCATGCCTTCAGAACTGAGCCATCTGAAATCTTCTCCAGCTCCTAAGAAATAGTTTTACACAATAACAAACTTTAATATAAATATATAAATGCAATATTTTAACTGTTTTACCTAATATACATACACATATATATATATATATATATATATATACAGTGCCCTCCACAATTATTGGCACCCCTGTTTAAGATGTGGTCGAGGACTTTTAAAAATTCTCCCTTTTTTTTTAAACAACATAGAATCCAAATGCAAAAAAAGAGAAAAATCCAACCTTTTATTTAAGTACATTACTTTGGTGGTAAAAAAAAAATTAAAAATGTAAAAAAATAAAAACTTCAAATCATGTGTCCCACAATTAGTCACCCCTGATGTTAATACTTTGTACAACCCCCTTTTGCCAACAAGACAGCACTTAATCTCCTACTATAACATTTCACAAGATTGAAGAACACAGAGAGAGGGATCTTTGACCATTCTTCTTTGCAAAATCTTTCTAGATCATCCAGTATCCTGGGCTCTCTCTTGTGCACTCTCCTCTTTAGCTCACCCCACAGGTTTTCGATTGGATTGAGGTCTGGGGACTGAGATGGCCATGGGAGGACCTTGAGTTTGTGACTGAACCATTTTTGTGTAGATTTTGCCACACGTTTTGGATCATTATCCTGCTGAAAGACCCAATGACGACCCATCTTCAGCTTTCTGGCAGAGGCCATCAGGTTTTTATTTAAAATGTCCTGGTAGTTCAAAGCGTTCATAATGCCATGCACCCTAACAAGGTTCCCAGGGCCTTTGGAAGAGAAACAGGCCCACAGCATCACAGATCCTCCACCATACTTCACGGTGGGCATGAGGTACTTTTCGGCATACACATCTTTTGTTTTACACCAGATCCACTTAGAGTGTTTGTTGCCAAAAAGCTCAATCTTAGTCTCATCCGACCAAAGCACACGATCCCAGATGAAGTCCCAGTGCCGCTTGGCAAACTCCAGACGTTTACGTTTGTCAGTGTTAGTGAGAAAAGGCTTTTTCCTAGCATGCCTCCCAAACATCTTGTTGGCATGTAGAGAGCGTCTGATGGTTGTTTTGGAGATTTTGTGACCCCAAGATGCCACTATTTGATGCAATTCTGTGACAGTGAGCTTAGGACTTTTTTTTACTTTTCTTAGCATCCTCCTCACAGTGCGTTGTGGCAAGATAAACTTGGGACCTCTTTCAGCCTTGTTTGTCACTGTTCCTGTTGTTTTAAACTTCTTAATGATTCCTCTAACTTTAGATATGGGCAATATAAGGTGAGTGGCTATTTTCTTGTAGCCATTGCCTGACTTATAAAGGTCATCACACATCTGCCTTACTTGAATGGTGTGTTCTCTTGTCTTTGCCATGTTGACAAATGGGTAAGAGAATTAGGCCTCTGTGTCATGTCATATTTATACCCCAGGGAAATAGGAAGTCATGAATTACTAATTAAAAGTTCCTAGATATCCTGACCAACATTAGCAACTACAGAAAATATATATTTTTTTAAAAATCAATTACATTTTTCAGCGGAATTGTTAGGGGTGCCAATAATTGTGGGACACAGGATTTGAAGTTTTTATTTTTCTAAATTTTTACATTTTTTTTTACCACCAAAGTAATGTACTTGAATAAAAGGTTGGATTTTTCTCTTTTTTTGCATTTGGGTTCTATGTTGTTTAAAAAAAAGGGAGAATTTTTAAAAGTCCTCAACCACATCTTAAACAGGGGTGCCAATAATTGTGGAGGGCACTGTATATATATATATATACACACTGTATATATGTAATGAAGAATGAAGAGTGTTTCAAATAAATCCCCACAAGAAAATAGCAGGAGCACTTTTCAGGTTTTGGAACAGAAGTACAGACATACTTAAGCACCACATACCCTGAAGAGAGAGCGTTTGGCAGCAACACTCAGCTTTGCTCTGTCATCTAGCTTCTCTTCATCCACTGGAAAAAACAGAAAGTAGAGATGAGTCAAGCTTTTTCATGAGAACCATTTTATGAAACCCCATGACTTTCAGAGGACAACACAATACTAAACACATGGTAGAAATGTTACGCAAGCAATATTCTGCTTCCCCTCTGCTCTGATTTCAGAGGTTAACCTTAAAAGGCACAACAGTGCAAAATAAATGCTATTCATCTACCAAATGCAATGTATTACATTGATGTATTTTCTAACAAAGTGTAGCATGACTACTGCAACACTAAAAGGGGTCTTATAAATTCATGAATTTATGGATTTAGCATTTTTGAATTTTACTTTTAGCCAGAGTTCCACTTGCTGAGTCAGTTAATATACACTACTAATAGTACACTTAACTGTTTATATAAAAATATCAAGGAAAACAGTAATGTGCTCCTGGAATGATTTTTTATTTTTATTTTTTTACATATTACTTGAGGCAGCACCTTGATTAACACAACTGTTCAAAGGTCTGGGGTCAGTATGATTTTTTTTTAAAGAAATTAATTCTTTTATTCAACAAGGAAGCATTAAATATAGATTGATAGAAGCAAGTAAAACTATTTAGTATGCTACAAAAGATTGCAATTTCAAATAAATGCTGTCCATTTCAAAAAGTCCAAAAAAGTTTTCTACAGTGTTTGAGCACTAAATCAGCATATTAGAATGATTTCTGAAGGATCATGTGACCCTGAAGATTGGAGTAATGATGCTAAAAATTCAGCTTTGCCATTACAGGAAAAACAAAAGAAAGAAACAAACAAACAAACAAAAAAAAAACACACATTTTTATATATATTAAAATAGAAAACTGTTACATTTCACAATATTGGGTTTTTACTACATATTTTTATCAAATAAATGCAGCCTTGATGAGCAGAACAGACTTGCAATAAACATTTAAAATAAAATCTTATGGACCCCAAACTTTTGAACGATATAGATATTTGTTGATGAACACTAGATTGTTGAAATTGCATAAAGATACAGTATGGCTAGAAAAGCAAAGCAGTAGTTTTAACAGATCCAGAGAACCCAAAAGTAGGTCTGTTGCTCTCTAGAGTATTCATGGATTCACTAAACAGAAGCAGTTTTGCAGAGTTATCTTTAAAGTCACAGTGCCATGCCTCCATAAGTGAAAATGTTTCCCACTCAGTTCAAACACCGATTAACAAGAACTTATTGTATGTAATATTAACATGTATGTTTATACTACAGTTGTGTACAGATATGAAACAAATGCAAAAGTTATGTAATGTTTTTGCATCATCCTTTACCATCACATAATAAATCTAAGACAGCAGCTAAAGCTTGCTAGATTGGCTATCCGTTTAAAAAGGCATAATAGGAAAACATGCTGAAAAAATCATTTTGTAGTGTATGCAAGCAAAAAGACTTACCCTCAGGGCTTAGTGGTTCAGGGCTTGGACAAGAGCTAAAGAGAACAAAAAGCAAAGTAAACAGATCGGTAAGGATAGGAAAGTTATTAAATCAATCAGTTGATTTGGAAAAAAATTGCAGCAAATGCAGCAGCATATTTAAGAAAAGCAGAATCAGGAAAACACAGCAGCTAGTGCAAAGGTGCAGAAAACACACACAGAACCACTTAATCCACAGCGTTAGACAGAATTATAGATTTCGCCACATGCCACAGAAACAAAAGAGGAGGAAAAAAATACAAAGAACCTTTCATAAAAACCACTGACCAAACATTTGGATTAGAATCCCTTACACAAAAACATTATACAGCTTGTATATTATATAGCATTAGAGATAGTAAGCCAAAAGCTAACTTTAAACTGTGAATTTGTAAATACAATGACATTAGAAAAAAAAAGTACTAGACATGGCACAGGCCAACCTTTTTTTGGGTTATTACCAAAATCAATTTATTAGACTACATCAAGTGTAATTTTAATGTGCACTCCAGGCTAAATCCACAACAACGTGCATAAATCTACTCATGAGGCCTACCGGTCCAACTGTTCACGCTCAGTTGATGTGATTGGCTGAGTTCTAAACCTCTCAGATGTCTTTCTATTCTCAGTAGGACAAATATACTGCAAAGGGCGACGAGATAACCGATCTTTGACCCTCTCACTTCTCCAGGGTGCCTCTGTAACCACAGGCAGCTCTTCTGCCCTATCATGTCAAAAAGCATTACTGAATGAGGCAGCATTGAAGAATGGCAGGTGCATAGGCATAACAGAGCAAAACACCAAAGCTTGATGAACTATTCATCTGAGCATCCTCATAGTGGGTTAAATGAAAAACTGAAAACAAACATCAAAAGTGGTTAAGAATTATTCTGTCAGCACATTTAGAATAAACATCCAACATTGTCTCTACAAAGACAAGGATGCCAAGCAAAGGTGAGACAAAAGACAGGAAGAGATGGTTAATTTTTATTGACAGTGCACACCAGTTAAGCCGAGCAGCATGATAGCTAAAGGAATAGAGCATTCAAATCTGCTGGTTAAACTCTGAATGAGCGATGGTATTATGGTATTTTCCTTAATTTAATTCTCAGAGCACTTACATTATGAGATTTTGATTGTTAATCGTCTATGTTAGACAGGTTAGTAAGTCGATACATCATAATAAATGTACCACCACCTACAGTTCGGCTTTCCGGGGACTCGCAACACTTTCCAGGTAGGTGTGGCGAAGTTTGGCCACTGAAACCCTGGCATCATGGGCTAGGTGATCGCCATTGGCCACAGCCTCTCTGACTGGGTCCTGGATGGGGTTCTCTTGAAAAGCTGTCTTTTGGACATTTCTAACATCCAGGGGTTTGGATGAATTTGGCATACATCTCCCTCTGGAGGTCTGAACTGGGGCATAGGAGCTAGCGTCAGCCCACTTATGGGCCTCTCGAGCTCTTGCTTGCATAGACTCTTCAGCCTGAAGACGGGACACGTGCTCTGTGTAAACTTCCTGCCTTGACCGACCTCCACGCCACCCTCTGGGGTCATCTAGAACACCCTTGCTCCTGTGCCCACTGATGCCTGGATTTACCTCCATGTTATCAGCACCTCCATGGCACGAGTTTTCTGTGCTCCGTTCTTTATTTCGAATCTCAGAGGGTAAAACGGCCTTCCTGCTTCGCAGTAGCCCCTCTGTCCTCACATTCTGTTTTCCCTCCACTTCTTCAAGTACTTCCTGAATCTCTAGTTTATGCCTGGAACCAGGTTCACTACCCATAGAAAAGTAGCTCTGGCACCCCAGGTCATGGCGTTCCTCTTTGCCAGGGTGGGTCAGCCGATGCTTGGCTGAAGCATCATGGAGGGTCCGAGTGTGTGGGTGATATTGAGGGCATGCCTGAGGAAACTGGTTGTACGCAGGTACCTCTGTTGTCTGACCCCTGTGAAACGGCTCGTCACGGGCCAGTCTCTCCCTAACTCGGATTCTTCAGAAGAAGAGAAAAGGGATGGTTACTTAGAACATAATGAGTCAAATATTCACTGACTGAGCAAAATAAAAAAAAATAAAAAAATAGAACTGTTTCATGGGCATGGAAGAACAGTAAGTGAAAGAGAGAGTCTGATCCAACCAAAACAACCCTTAAGCCACAGAACCAGTTGAAGCATCTCAATATGGTTTGTGCTTATTAGAATGTGGTTAAGTAACCTTGACAGTATTTGGAATAAAAATACACTAAAAGTGTGTCAAAGTGGATGTTTTCAGTGGTCTAAATAAGTAGAATCATGTGAAAAATCGTTTCGCTCGCTGTAAAAAAAGCAAATCAAGTAGCAAAACACAACCGTGATATGAAACATAGAACATACATCATATAAAAACAAATAACCATCTTGAAACAATCTTAAAAGTGGGGTTTTAATCAAAATAAGGTTATTTATAATCCTCAAACCATTTTCAACATTTTGATACATAAAGGCGGTTTCTTCATATTATCGTAAAAAATTCTAGCAATGGGCATCCTAACACCCAGTTAATTTCACACTACATAGCGTTTTATTACATGCTGGGTGAGAGAGGTTTGCTGATAAACTACGGTAGCTTAGTTTGTGATGACTGGCTCTTTAGGTCAGCAGAATCAATGCTCTAAGCAGGGGGAGGCAAAAGACTCTCATCCAAAACCTTTTGCAGTTAGTGCACTACCAGTGAAGTGAGAAAAGAAAATCTCATAATGCTTTTAAAAGACATCTGTTTATTACAGAGTCACTCTCCGTGTCTACCTCTTATTTTCCACCCATTCACCCAATTAAAAGCTCAAATTCCATTAGCTGAGAGCTACAATGATGTTAAAAACAGACTTTTAAGCAACCCAACTCTCTACACATCCTTTTCTGAGTTGCATCCCACACTCCACTAGCTGCTAAAATCTGCTTCTCCTGACCCAAGCTTGACGGGTGCAATCTATACTCTCACACTTCAGTTTTACATGTGGTAACATCCACTCTTGCTGGGCTCCTCTGGAACCCTGTTTAAGTGAAACCATGCTCTGCACTGTAATTGTTGAGTCATGTGAACTGTTTTTAACCTCATCTAAGAGGACTGCATTTTCAACACTAAATTAGAGAAATAGCTGTAACAAAATGCAGCCAAAAATTATGTTTCAGATATGGTTCATGAAAAGGAAAAAAAAGTGGTTGAATTTTTTTTTTAGCTGTGCAGTAAATATAGAGACAGAAGAGAATTTCTGTTAAAAGGGGTCATGAACTGCATTGTTTTATAATGTTTCCTAGGGTGCACTTATAATGTGATTTACAAATAATAGGCATTTTTCCAACCCTGATTTTAGCTTTCTGATTTGAACGCTCCCTTTAAGGGTCGTGTCTGCTGTGAGACTTCAGAGTAAACGCCCACTGCTGTAATTGGCAGACACATAAAATAGCTATTAGCTAGTATTACAAGCGGAACTCCCAAAAACCTTTAGCATGTTTTTATTATTACAGCTTTCAAGGTTAACTAATTGGGAAACATTTGATTATACTTAAATCTATGGCATTATATTTAGATTGTTGTAGTGATGAGCAACAATGTAGCCGACCATAGACATGTTGAGCACATGAATGCAGTGATATCGTCATTGCGACACGATTTCTGCACTCTAATGAATACTTTTATCATTACTAACAATGGAAACACAATGTAAATAGATTTGTTGATTAGAACCAAAGAATATAGATAAAAGGGATTTTGTTATAACAGGAGTTTTGGCGAAAGCCACTGATAAACTTGAGCAGTTTGACAGCTTCAGCGATTTTAAAGGGAGTGTTCTTTGATCCCTTTCATATATATAAAACTTAAATCACAGTTTAAATAAAAGATTATCTTCATCATACTAAGAGAAACTTGAGGTTGAGTGTTTAGTCACTGGTTTGATTTACTGACACTGACAAAGGACAATAGGCGACATGAGGAGAGATGGTCAGATCAGGCATTAAAATGAACATTTACTTACATGTGGTCGCATTATTGTCGAGTCCATATCGTAAAAGTCTGTTTGGAGAGCCCGCCCCGAAATTGCCACTGATTTACCAAAGAATCAACCGTGAAATATACTGAATACATATAAATAATGCTCAACTGAGACACTCACATTGTTGAAAATAAATAACCACTTTTTTTAGCATTAGGAGCCTTTGAAAGGCAATGTTATATTCCAGAGATCCTGCATCACTCTTCTCTCCTCATCACCTCACAACACATGAGTGGGCAGGGTAAAAGTAGCAATGATGAATTAGGCATTGATTTTTTTCTGCAGAGGCTGTCTTTCACCAACCCATCATTTGCTTTTTTTGGACTAACAAGGAAGTTTCCATTTCTGAAACTTACAGGATATTCTTTTAGTATGATGACCTCTTATATGTCAAAAGCTCAAGAAAAATTTGATTTCTCAGTTCATGACCCCTTTAAAGCTATGAACTTTAACTTTTTAAACATTTGCAAGAAATATCCAAAGGGGAACCTAACAAACAAATAAATAAATGATGATGATAAATTAGATGAACTCAAAAAGCATCTACATCCCAGACTTGATCACTAACAAAAGGAAACTGTAGTTTTGTACTTTTATTTTTAGAAGGTTATGCTTTTGCAAATACTCTGCATATTCAGGGGATGAGGTGGAGATGGAGAGCCTAATTTTCTCTCTATACAACTCTTTTATGTATGTCTGGGTTTGTCAATGTCAGCAGACATTAAGTGCCAAGGAATTGCAGAGGAGGAAAAAGCCAAGAGTAAATAAACCACTAGACTAGTAAAGTCTGAGGAGGAACATAAAAGAATAAAAAGTTAGAATGAGAGAATAGGGGCAAAAATAGAGAGAAAACTGGTGAGAAATGGGAACTCAAATTGTGTGTGAAATGATTCCCAGAAAATGTGGCTCTGGTGTTTTGCATGACTAATCAAGTCATCACGCTCTCCATTTGACATATTGAGCTAATACAGGCCGAATTATCTGCATTTACATTCTTGTCAAGTTTGGTGACTCATAGCTCAACAATTTTCTCACCACAGTATCACAAACATAATATCAAGTCAGTCACGCTTGATTCAACCAGGTACTGAAAAGCAATACGAGAACCAAACCTGCCATGTAGGAATAAACCACACACATTTGACTCATTGGACAGTGGACTGTGAATATTAGAAAAAAGTTAAAAAGTACACTGCAACAAAAGGGTCTGAAGGTTCAATGATCAAATTCAAACCCAGAGCACTTATTAACAGTGTGGATGGGATGGGTGGTAGAAATGTGTGCGAGCGAGGATGGCCATTTTGTTACTGAGATGATGAGCCCAACTCAAAACCACTCCCTAAGCCCTTTACCTTGCTGGGTCCAAACAAACTGACAGACTAAACCAGTGGTTTCCAACCTTTTCTTGAAAGCCAACCACCTGTGACTGAAAATATTTAGGCCCTATTTGAGGTACCACCTTTTGAGCAATGTATAACAAAATAATACATACTGTACAGTAATCATAACATCTCTGAATATTCACTTTCTTTTTTAAAGTCCCCGTGAAATCAAAATTGAACCTATTTACTTTGTTAGCGCATATTACTAGTCTTGTGGTGAACAATTAATCCGTGCAAGTAAAAATTTATTAAAAATATGTTTTACCTTGGTAATCTTTAATCAAAATCTGAAAAGTTACTTCCAGTCTGGAACGGTTTCTTTTTCTGATGACGTAGGTTTCACAGCTTGGGTGGGGAAACGCTTAACCACTCCCCTCAAACCGTTAGTTTACTATGAGCGAGTGATGGAGAGGAGGAGCGCTAGAGTAAAACCCTGCCCTCTGTTCAATATTCCGTTTCACTTGGAAATACGTCACAGCACTGGAGAAAAATCGTTTGCGACTTCCGGTTCAGGGGGACTTTAATCCAAGTCTGGGGTCGAGAAGATTTTTAAAAAAAAAGAAAGTTTTAAAATGCTCACATTTTCACCAAAGCTGCATTCATTAGATAAAAACAGTAAAAAAAAAAACACTGTAAAATATATGTGCATTAAATTGATCAGAATGAATTTATTCAACCCCAAACTCTTTAAAAGCTATTATATATCTATACCTTGTATATTTTTCTTGTCACTGGCCTTTTGATCAGAATCAAAAATCCATGCTTTGAAATCAATGCCAAGACTACGGCAAGAGAAAATAATTAAAATGGAATTGATTTCATCATCATACAGCACAACGGTCTGATGCATATTTCTTACAAAAAAGACTAGAGCTGGCTGACATTGCATGACTTTGCATGAAGTTTTTATTAGCTCTTTGTAAAACCAGGTTGCTACAATGATCGCTTAATAACCACTAGTTGCTTAATTTACAACTTTGTATCAGTCTTCCAAGCTAAGCGTGGTCCCTAAAATAACGTGCAAAGTGGACCAGACTTTTTTCCCGAATAGTTAATAATCCAATAAACCACTAGAAAACACATGACACCTATTGTCACTCTCACCTCAAAATCCAACAAGGACTTTCATAGGAAAGGACTAGAGGAGGGTTTTGAGATAGGGCCATGAAGTTAGGTGGGACCACTGTTAAGTGAAGGGTGTCAAACACACCCATAAATCCCAAATGTATGGTACCTGGAAGGCCAGTTGATTGGAGAGAGGGTGTCTCCTTCTGAATCAGTCTGAAGTGACCATTGGTTGGCTGACTGGCTACGGGAGCTAAATCAGTTGAGAAACACCCAAAAGAGTGAACTTCTCAACGGTTTATGTAAGTAACAGTTTATTTGGGGGCTTAAAAAAGAGGGGGGAAAAACTTACGAGAAACCAGGTTCCTGAAAAGAGAGTAGGTCCTCAAATGAATTATGAAAATTAAGTCTGGCTTGCTGGGAACTGGGTTTTAAAGGCCAAGTCCTCATTTCTTGACATTAACTAAACAATCAAACTATATACTGACATTATGAATGGGCTCTGGGTCTTTCCAGAAAATCATTCATTATCATATTCATTTGTATTGTTTTGGCTTGCCTTAATGCTAGGAATTTAAAATTGGCTGGAATCGTTTGTTGCTTAAATTGGCAAGCACTTTAAATCCAAAACATCACACAAAGCATTGACCCATGCCATAAAGAAACAGCTGCCAAATAACAGTAAAGGTCAATGCTAATGTTTCATACTGAATAGAGCCCACCCATCTTTAAGTAGTAGTAGAAACACTCCTAACAATATGCAAGCCAAATCCTGCAAATTGGCACTTTCTTTGGGGGAAAATACCTGTGAAAGATTTAGAGGAATACCAGCCAACACAACCAGCCAAAAAAGAAAAGAAAAGAATAATAGAAGATTAAGATCCTGACATAATAAGATTCTACTTGGAGACTGTAAGAAGTAGAGACAAAAAAAGACTCACCTGTGTCTTTGAAGGATGTTGTGAGCCTGCTGCTCAATAAACAGATCACCAGGAGATGCTTCCTGTTTGGCAGATGGCATCACGACCCTTCGACCAGTATTAGGCGAGCTGGGAACCCCCATCGCCCCTGATTCCCTCCCTGGAACCCTGGCAGACCCAGACACATCCATATATGCAGATGGGTCAGGTGCAACCCCTCCACTTTCATGCAATCTATTACGCTCTACGGCCCTCCTCTGGTTCTCCAGATTCATCATCCTTTCGCGCTCAGAGATGGAGTCTGTGCGTTCTCTGCTGTATTTATCCACATTATGGCTGGTGGTGTAAGCATTATGCTCCACTCGGTCTTCTTCTACACTTGACCTGTGTTGTCGGCTGTCGGGCTCTTTGGAGGTTCTGGAGTAGCGAGCGGAATAGTCGGTTTCTGTCTCCTGATCCAGAGAGATGCCATAGCGTTCTGCTAGTTGACGGCGCCGCTCTGCCTTGTAGCGAGCAATCCTTTCAGCTTTAGAGTCCAGCTCTGCCACATTAGTGGAGCCAGTACTGTAGACAGACTCCGGTTGGACTGTGTAGGTTCTGGACTGAACCTCAGCACTGTGCGGATTTGGGAAGTTTGGCTCATTTTTGCTATAGTGCTGAAGAGAAACTGCAATAAGAGCGAAAAGAAGGCAGTTTACACTAAATCAATTTGCCCAAATCTTTAACTTTAAGTAACCCGAACACCAGCTTATCAACCCAAACCTATCATCATGTGTGTTGATATGCACCATATAATTAGTATTAAGGGTGTACTCACACTAGGCACAGTTATCTTGTACTGAGGCTGAGCGCGATTGTCCCCCCTACCCACCGCCTCGCTGGCCTGCACTCACATTGCACTTAACGTTCCGGGCCGGAACACACTTACGATACAACTTTCTCTTCGCAAATAGACTTATCTAATGGATTTATCATTTATGCCGTGCAGCGAATTCTTTTTTTATCAGAATATTATGGCAGCAGCAGACTTGAGGAATTTGCAGCTATACTCACAAACTACAAATCCTGTTCATCAACAAGGAGAAAACCAGACCCAAAATACTCAAATTAATTAAAAAAAGTACCAAGTAGTAATAGAAGATGTTTGCTGTCGTAATAATGATAGTAGCGCACACGAATAGTAGCCATTTCGTGCTCCGGGCCTACGGAGCGATCACATGCGCTCGGGCACGATTCAGATCGCCAAGTGTGAATACACCCTAAGATGTTTAGTGCACGTCATTTCTCATTCATGTTATAGAGTGAACAAATCTATTAAAAAAATATGCACATTTCTCACCTGTACAGGGGTCACAGGTGTCTGCTGCACGGGTATATCTAGGAGTGTCTTCCTCTAGCATTCGATTGGTTACTAGACCGCCACAGCCTGGGAGATTTTGGAGAACATCACCATCGATACCCTCCAGACGCCGTGCAATTCGTTCTTTCCTATAAACAGGAGTGGTATAGTGTTAAGGATATTTCTCAATCTAGGAAAAACATATAATTACATATATTTTCAATGTTTCTGAAAGTAGTCTCGTTTTTTTATCAAGGCATCGTTTATTTGGAATTAAAAACAACACAGTAAAAAATAAAAGTAATATTTAGAAAAATCACAGCAATTTAAAATAACTTTCTATATGAATATATTTTAAAATGCAATTTATTCCTGTGAAGACAAAGCTGAACTTTCAGCAGTCATTAAGCACCAGTCATAAAGCGTTGTGAATTTCATTTCGCATACCTACACCGAAGTGATAAAATAAAAGAAATCTGTATTAAATACATTAACAAGACAAGTAGTTTGTTCAGGCATGGTCTTGTAGGGATTTAAAAACCCTATAGCACACATATATTCAAACGCAACGCACATAACACATGTGCATGTGAACGCCATCAGTGTTTATCACAAGTTTGCGTTTAAAATCTGTTTAGAGATATTCATATACATTTTTACCTTACAGTTACTGTAAACTATATCCAGTGGCAATAACAGCATGCAGACAATTTTCTTAATTATGTTATTCTCACCAAAAACACCTGCAATAACTAAACTTTGGCTGTGCATGCTTTATAAGACTGATTTAACTTCTCACCTGTTCATGTCCCAACTCTGACTCGTGCTTATACTCTCAAAACGTTTCCTTAATTCTGAGACTAAAGAGAGAAAAAAAAGTGATGGATGAGTAAAAGAATGAGAGACAAAAGAGGGAGGATAAATAGGATAAATCAAACCATTACAAATAGTGAAACGTACTTTATATCAAGTATTTGTGATATTTCAACTTAGAAATGTAAGCAAAGCAATCAGAGCTTACTATATACTGTAAGATGCACACTGTTTCAAGACTGGATAGTAATCCAATTTTTACACAATTTTGCTTTTCTGTATTTAATACCAAGTCATGTTTTATGATGTATCTGATGTATTACACTAAACCTGCCGCCTATTAAGTACAGTATACTGCTATGTCCTTTCAGTGACACATTTCCAATAATAGTCGAGGTGACACAAGTCCAGTGTGTTATCTAAAACAAAAGCTGCTTACACTTAAGTCGTCTGATATTAGCTAGGAGAATGGCTACATTTCCACAAAAGTTAGCCAATCATAGGTGCATCCTCAGTATTGTTTCAGCAGCATGGGAATATGACACTCAACTGTGTCCTGTCACTAGCTGACCAGTGAAGTGATTGAGAGGGGGATCATCACGGGCTTATGTGTACACGACACACTAACAGTGTTTCCTTAGCCTGGGGCCTATTTCATGAAGCCGGTTTAGGTGGCTAGTCGGGTACATTTCAGTTTAGTTTGCGCCAACTCAGGGTTTTAGACACCATAGTCCAGTAAGGCTAAAGATTGTCTTACAACTAATTGCTTGCAAGGATAACATCAAAACCTGGAAGACTAATTAGCCAATGACTCCCTAGAGATTTTTCTATGGGTCTTTCTATATTTAAATAAGGTCTGTGGTAAACCGAAGCGGACAATACTGTGACGTTTTGTTCTACAACGTAAATTATACACACCCATTCTAAAAACACAACTTTTGAAGCAGTTTTAAAATTTTTGAAAATCTATGTTTCAAATAAGTAACTAAGTGTGTGTGTGCAGTTTAAGTTGTACAACAAAACGTCAAAGTACCATCAAGTCATGTTTACTACATGAATTGAAGAAACCCATTATAAAACCCTATAGGAAAATCTCAAAGAAACCACTGGTGAATTAGTCTTCCTGTTTTTGTAACACTGGGTAAACGTAACAACATTGTTCATAATAACTAATGCCGAGTTCAGACTGCATGATTTTAGCCACGATTTTGGCTCGCCGACAGGTTTTGAGAAATCGCCGACAAATGCCCGAAATCACAGGCAAATCGGCGCTCGTTCACGCGAGTGACAATCACGCAGTGTGAATGAACAAAGACGCGAACTAAGAGAATCACCGACGAGTCGCCGACGCCCGTGAGATATTTGGCATGCTAAATATCTGGACCTGTCGGCGATTCAAAATCCTGCTGTGTGAAAAGTGTTTTGACTGAAAACTACATCGGCGATCACCGGCAGCCAGTGAGAGAGCAAGATACAGAGCAGCAGGGAGTTCGGGGAGGAGTTATAGATCACATATCAACATATGGCATTGTTTCAACAAAAAAAGCTTCTTCTCGGTCTATTTGGACACAATAAATGGAAGAAAAATTAGTAGAAATTTGGCAGGAGCACTCGTGTCTGTTTCACCAGCTGTACCACAACCGGGTCGAAAAAAAAAGTCTCACGTGAGAACTCCGGTCTTGCACGTGTGGTGTCGCGTGTTGTTTCCTTTTCATATCTCACGCGTGTTTGTTGTGAAATGTAGTTTGCGTGCAGCGTGCTAGACAGAGTCTGTCGGCGATTTTTCTAAAGTCATGCAGTGTGAAACCTTCTGTCGCCGATCGTCCAGTGTGAACACAGCAGCGACTGAATGCTGGCCAAGATAGTCATGCAGTGTGAAAAGAGCAGCGACCTGACTACTTTGAAAATCGTGCAGTCTGAAAGAGCCATAAGACAAAAAAATGTCTTTTGGGTCTTACCAGAAGCAGGCTGCTCATGCGAGAGCCCCACAGAATCCTGTTCACCCACTCTCTTTCACATTTTCAGGGCTAATAAGCAAGACAACTTGCCCAACAACAGGTGGCCCCATGTAGACCAAATATAGGTCATCAGTGTCCCATCCCCCCCCCCAACACGTGTCCAGCACTCATCAAGACAATGCTAAGTGAAACATACAGTCTTGAAGCAACTTGTAAGAACTTTGATGAAGGCATTATTACATACTTTGTTACTTGCCATTTTAGCAGACAGTTGTCATCTAACGTGAAATGTCCCATGTGAATACAGTACATCAGGGACAACCCTCCTAAAATTAAGTGGGCCTAAGAACCACAGTGATCATTTAGTGTTCAAATTCTCTTTGGGATTGAACCTTTGTATTAAAATTCTTGACCATAACATACCTCCATTAAAAAAAGTGCAAAAATCAACTGAATCTTGCCAAGTATATGACAAAGCTACTGACTGCTAGTTTAGTGAGAGTCTTCACTGTGTAAATACTTAACAAGTATATAATAGCCATGATAAAAGAACCTCGCAACCGAAGTGTTGATGTATTTTGTACTTACCCTTGGGTGTATTTCCCAGCAGACTGACATCTACTACTTTGTTGGTTCCCTCGTCTTTCTCCTCAAACAAGAACTCTTTCTGAAAGCTGGACAGAGTGAGCCAACTTTAAATTTCAATATATTTTACATATACGTAATACAACAGAAACAGAAGAGGTCTCAGTATTGCCAGCTTTTGTAGAAGCAGAACCTGAAAAGGCATCTGAATCTTGGCAGATATCAGTTACATCCCAAAGAAATGCAATATCCTAAATTTTCTTTTTATAACTGGATTTTTGTTTTGTTTTTAAGAGACCCCCCCCCCCCCCTGGGAGAGTAAATATCACATCTAAAAATATAGACACATCCCAGTGTTCAAGTGAATACACCATTTTAAAAAGCATGACTACATACAACAGGCACACATAGTAGTAACATAGTCCTCTTTAATTTGTTCAAACCTTATTAAGACTTTCAAAGACTAAGATACTGTTGGTGTGGATATTTTCCATGGAAATTGTACAGTAAATCAAAACCCAAGTTATATAAACATTCTACATATTTGGATAAAAATAAGGATCTTACCTAAGAGCTCTCCGTTGTAGTTTGGTACTGTCAACTTTAGGGGCTGTTTCTCCTGTGAAGCCTGTGCACACAAAAGAAAGCACAGCCTTCAGACTACAAATACTCCTGCTGGTGACAGGACTGATCAGCCAAAGATGTTTCAAAGGCCCCATGTGAAGGGCAGGAACGAAAAAATAGTATCCATTACATGGACGTCAACATGGCGCTGTGTCCATATGAACAGGCTTACATACATAGGTACATATTCTGTATGCACAGAGTCAACTGCCTGGGCCCATGTGCTAAATGTTGTTTCAACAGCTTTGTTAGTCAAAGTGACTAATGCGCAAAGTCATCTGTATCTCTGAAATTACTCCGTATCTGTAAAATTATGGACAACACACACTGACAGACCTCCATTATCATCAAGTGTAAGGCAATAAATACTAATAATAAATGTTCATTTTACATTATGTATAGTTTAAAGGTAATATAGGATAATATAAATCAATAACCATATCATTATTATTATTATAAATACAAATTGTTGAGTGTAAAATAAATTGTGATCTATGGGAAAATTAAAAAAATTGAATTAAATAAATATAAAAATAAAATACTAATATAATAAAAATATATCAGATCAAATAATGGCTGATAACCAATGGTGAAACCAATTTACAAGCATCCCTTGAAAACAAGAAAGAAAAAAAAAAAATGTTACTCTAAATTAATTTAACAATGTTTTGTTATTATTCACACGAGTAATGCAATGAAATGACTAAAACCGTTGTTATCGTCTGAATAAGCAGATGGAGATCTGACATCTGAGCCTCACAGAGGGATCGGAAGACCAGAACATGTGTTTCCACTTTACCCACAGATCAATAGCCTTACCACACACATTCATCCAGACCAAACAACCTTTTTGACATCTAAAAAATTTGATATTCAAATATTTTAATCCAGATTAAGGACTGTGGTTAGATGCCATTTCCTCCTCCTCTCTACAAACACTATTTGAGAAGAGAAAGTGAATAAGAGTGCCAACTGATGGACTCTGTTTTGGTACGGAGCGAGTTTTCACAGCTGGGATGAGTATCTGCTGAAAACATTCCTCAGCGCATAAAAATCTCCTCTTAGGGCCTGCAGATGAGACATCAACTGAAGGTGGAATGAAAGCGAACAGGAACATTTTGGAAGGAACTTATGAAACTGGGTGGAGGCAAAAATAATGTGGAGATTTGTGCCGTCACGCCTAATAGAAATTGTTGTTTTCTTAAACTGAAATCACAACAAATGACAGAAATCACTCTGTTCTGGTACCTTGCACTGAGGATACCAGAACAGTTACTGATGTTTATTGTTGCATCTGGGATAATTCAACTACGAAGCTATTGTTCATCAGGCAAACTAAGTGATTAATGACACGGCTTTAAACAAATCATTGACAGATTTTCCAATGTCCTTACAGTAAATTAACACTACAGGGTAAATGAAAAGTTAATGACAATGTTTCCCACGCAGAAGCAGGAACAAAAACAAAAAACCATCAAGCAAACTGACAGTTAGTAATGCAGATAAAGTAGATTGATTACTCAGATTTTCCTAAGCACTCATTATGTGCATTGCATGGTCTTGTTGAGAGCACCCACCGCTAACAGACATCCAGAAAACATTGGCTCTGTGCCCTCTTAAATACAGATGCTAATCAGACACAGTCAAGTGTCACATTTACAGCACTTGAAATGGCATGCGTGTTATTCCACAGCCCTGTGACACACTCTGATCTACAAAAAGCATCACATTAAAGCTGATTGCACTGTTCAGGTTAATTATTCCAGCATATCACCTGTTTTCAAGCACAGTCACTTATCAAATATGGTGAGTGACTGATAAACTTAAATATAGGATTCAGTCATTGGTTTGTATCGTAATTTATTTATTGTATTAATAAACTATGTAATTAGATTTAAAGGTGTGGTTGATTATGATTTCACTTTTCTAGTTTTAGCTAGCATGTAATGTTGGTGTTTGAGCAAAAACAACATCTGCAAAGTACTAACGCTCAAAGTTCAAAGCAAAGGAAGACTTTTTTTTTTTTAAATGAATCGTTTTTTAAGGACTGCAACAAACGACACAACATTCCCAACGCATTCTCATCCTTTAGCGTCATATGTGACGCTATATGACAAAACGACCAAATACTACGCACATGGCACCCGTTATCATTAATATAACGCGCTGTGATGGGTAGGTTTAGGTAGGTTGATGATCCACCATCATCTGACTCTGGTTTGAACATACCAGTAAATGGCTAAAATTTTCAGTACATGTGTGAGGTAAAAGGACACAAACTATTGTAGCTCCACCCCGTACTGGGAGCAGCAGCTCATTTGCATTTAAAGGGATAGACACTCTGGGGATATCAAAGACTTATTTTCCATCTTGTGAAGGGCATTATACCACCCCTTTAAATTAATACGTAATATTTAATACAAATACAAACATTTTATTTTGTAACATTTATCAAGAATGAAATGCTTTGATATTTATTAACAATAAATTATTCAAAAGTTTGGGATCAGTAAGATTTTTTGAAAGAAGCCTCTTATGGTTACCCAGACTGTTTATTTGATCAAAAATACTGTATTAAAAAAAAAACTTCAATTAAATAATATTACGATTCTATTTTAAAATATAATTTATTCCTGTGATTTCAGCAGCCATTACTCCAGTCTTCAGGGTCACATGATCCTTCAAAAATCATTCTACTATGCTGATTTGGTGATCAGGATACATTTCTTTTTATTATCAATATTGAAACTGGTTGTGTTGCTTAATATTTTTGTAGAAATCATGACTTTTTCATAATATTATACATTTCTTTACTGCTGCTTTTGATCGGTTTAATGCATCTTTGCTTTTTCTTGAACGATGACTGAAACTTTGTATAACTGGCAATGTATTGCTTTTTAAGAGCAATACTTTGGATTAAAGTGTCTGCTAAGTGATTAAATGTACATTTAAATGTTTTAAATTTCTTTAAACAAAAAAATAAAAAAAAACATACAACCCCAAATCACTACAAATGATAAAACTACATGAAAGTCAGCAAGTAGTACATGCTAGTCATGAATTCAAAACACACTTACAGGATGAAACCTGTTAAATGGGAAAACACTGTGCCAAAATGTGGCAGTGAGGTGCTAGCACTTGTCTCAGCTAATATAGGATTAGTCTTCAAGAGGAATAGGATTAGCCAGTGTGGACACAGGAAGTGTGCCTTTGTGCACATGTACGGCATAACTTAAATCATGATTTTTAAATGGTGCTTTATGTTTTAATACCAGATCAACTCTGAACATTCCTCAATGCCCTTCAAAAGAGTTCAACTGTTATTTAGCGATACACAGACAGAGAGAGATCTTAAGAGTCTTAAAAAAAGACAGCTGGTGTCTGCACTCCAGGAAAGGGGGAATTAGGTGAAGGGGAATCTCTAAAACCCATTCACACATTTATCCATTAAACCATTTACATTGATGCATTAACCCATTTACATTTAAAGCAGTCAAAACACTGACTAGGATACTTCCACAATAAATGAAAGCAAATTGAACATTTCAAAAAACTATAAATTCAGACATGCATATAAAATGCATGTCTAAGAGTGCATTGCTGGACACAAACACCTGTTATAACTGTGAAAATGCATTTAACTAGGAACACACAGGATAAATGGAAAAGCATGTGCCTTTGTGCAAGTGCACATAACAAAACCATTAAAAGGCAATACTGTGCGTCAAACTCTCTTAAACTGAGTAACAGACCCGACTACAGAATTTAAACTATTGAAAACATTCAATTTCTAAACCACAGTATGCAAAAGCGACAACACTTGCTCTGCTTCAAAATGCCTCATTTGTCTATTTTAGTCAGCGAGACCCTTGTTCTGAATACTTCTGTCCTTGGAGAATCTAGCACCATTAAAACCCAAGCAGGATAAACAGAGATGTGGTGGGCCCGTCCTGTTCCGTCCCACCCCAACAGCCATTTACTCACCTTGGCACAACTTGACATGGTTGACATAGTTGAAGATCCAGGGGTTCCGGTACATATTGACAGAATAAAACAAGGAGTGGATGACTGATAAGAAAAGAAAGTGACCAGAAAGGGAGGGAGGGAAATAGTGAAGGACCTAAGAAAGGAGGAAAATAGGAGAAAGAGAGAGAGGACTGCAGAAAAGCAGCAGTGTCTGAACTGCAAGGTGATGCAGAGTTAGCTGCAGCAATCCTGGGACAGCCAGAGAAGGGAGGTGGAGAGGAAGAGAGAGAGAAATGCTGAGAGAGGAGGAGGAGAACAGTATCTCTCCAACACTACGACACTATGCTGACGGAGAGCCTCTCGCTCTCTGCATGGCTACTGCTAAATGCTAGCAAGGTAACTACAGTGCTAATGCTACTCACTGCTAATCAGATTAACAATACGGAGAGCGAGAGAGAAAGATATAAAGAAAGGGGAGCGAGATGGAGGACAGCAACAGTCAAACAGTAGCGGTTGTGTGCTCTAGCAGCTGCATACCGTGGATGTGTGTTTAGCTTTTAGGACAGCTGAAAGGGTGAGAAAGTAAGAGAGGATAATTGCCTCAAAAGGAACAAGAAATTCCGATCGTCTCTTAGCAATGACATATTCGTGGTACTCAGAGAAGGAGAGAGTGGAAAAGCAAGATCTCTGCCATGGAGAACATAACTTGCCAAGTCATATTGTTGTGCTAAGTACTCAAAGGAGGGACAAAATAATAGACGATGTGTGGACTAGAAAAATCACTTGAATTATGGACTCATCAGGTCTTTCCCGTTCTGTTTTCCCAATATCAACAGATGATGCTGCGTGTTAAATAGGTTTAGATTTTTCATTTTTACTCTCCTGGTCCCTGTAGTGTTTTGGGGTTGGGGGTGGGGGGGAATTCATTACTTGAATTTCTTCTCAGTCAGGACTACTGGTGAATTTCAAAAGAATGACTCGGACCGTGTGCATCTGTTAGCTCCGGGGTTCAAATGTGAAAATATCCATGCCAGCAGCCAAACTCAGAAATTCTCATGTAATAAAGTCACCCCTTTGATGAGGAAGACATTGACTGCTGAAGTCTGCTGGGTAATAGTATAAAGAGAGAGAATATAATGGTTGAATAATGGACAGTGGAAGAGAGCTAAAGCATTTAATATTATTATATTATAATATTTAAAATAACCATTTAAATGCATTTTATGCAAATCGAATGCAAGTAATTTATTTCTGTGACAGCAAAGCTGAATTTTCATTACTGTCTTTAGTGTCACGTGATCCTTCAGTCACTCTAATTTGTCACTCTAATTTGATGATTTGGCCAAGAAACAGATTTTTTTTTTTATAATTATCAAATGATAAAAACAGTTTGTGTTGCTTAAACATTTTGTGGAAATTTATGATGCATACATTTTTTTTTACAAGTTAAAAAAATAAGCATTTATTTTAAAAAAAATAACCTCAAAAAAAAAAAAAACCACATACACATATATATATATATAAATTCCCTTTCTGTCATATTTGATCAATTGAATGTATCCTTGATGTATTCATTTAAAGTATTTATCTCTTCCTAAATCAAAAATTTACGGACCCCAAACGTTGGAACCATGGTTTATAACATAGTAAAGATTTAAGCTAAACATTTGTAACTTTAGTTAAAGCAACTTGAAAAAAAAAATCAAAGGGTCTTTATATAATTAAATATTGCCTGTAATATCATAATTCTCCTCTCTATAATAAGCCATCCATGAACAAAGTGGTTCACAACGTAAAGGAGTTCCCAGAGATTTTTGGAAACTAGGCTACATAGCAAAAATGTAATGTTCATTCAAAAATCTGTGACAAAGCAAATGTGACAAACCATCCATCCAAAATCCAAATCACTAATACCATGTAAGATAACTATGATGCTGGAGCCTTAGCCAAGGAAACACCCTGGACAGATGGCCAGTCCACTGCAGGACACAACCATGAACATATCCCAAACAACTAACAGAGGCTAAATTGTCAGTTTTGGGGACTGGCAAATGTATTTATTTACAGATGCGTCAAATACACTCTCCAAATCAGGGATGACAAATTGGACCTCTTATAGTCTATTTATATGGTAAATGGACTATAAGGGGAACACAAAAGCAAGGACCCAGGGAGGCAGAGTAAATGCGGCGATACATTAGATAATGAGGCTAGTGTGGAATAGGGAGAGTGCACAGCAGCAGAGAGAAATAACGTCAGTGTGCATTAGAGCAAGCAGGGCATTTGAACACTCTTGTACATGCAGAATGGTATTTGCCCTGCACTATTTCTGGCCTATTATCCTGACTGCAATGTTTCCACTGCAGTACTTATCATACACAAACACACACCTTCAAGGATGACCTGAGACTGAGACACATCAAAAATCAAGAATGTGTCAATGAGTGTGTCAAGTGGCCAGAAAAACCAGCTGCTGTTGTTCTTGACATAATTATAGGCCCAATTCAAGATAGGGTGCATCAGTATCTGATGGAGATAAGATTAAGACCATGATGAGGAAATCAAAGACATTCCAGAGACTGGACTAATATCTAAGATAATCAGCACTTGAGTTGTTGTTGTGATCTATAACTAAAGGCTGAATAGGGATGACTTCACCATGTGAGTCTAGAGAAGGGCATGTGCCCTGCCTTGTCATTACACATAATGTAATCTACTAGGCCTAGTTCCTCAGAGACCAGTCTGCTTACTCAGATGTCAAATACCACAAATATGACATCAGCCCTTAAATCCAAAACACACCATCTAATGACACCATCGCATGCACATGTGCTCAGTATTTACAGCTCAAACTGTTGGGTCTGGTTTAACACCATCTGCTCGCTACAGTTGCAAATAAAAATTAAAGTGGTAAATGGTGACAAACTCAAACAGAAATAAAGAGGAATTATGAGACAAAATAATCCAAAAGCCCATGTAAAGGGTCTTAGCTTAAGCTTAAAAAAACAAAACACTTTCCCGTATCAGAAAATGTCATAAATAATAATAGAAAAAAGCTGGCCACATTTTGTTGTTTGTAGAACTTTAGCTTTAGCATTTACCATTTATCAAACAGTAAATGGCTAATGTGCCAGCAAAAATGTATGGAAATTAAAGGAAATCTGCTTTCAGAAATGGTAACATATGGGAAAAAAAGATCAGTTTTAACAATAAATAAGATGGAAAGGGTCAAATATGACTAGCAGATAACTATACCAAAGAGGCTGCATGCATGTCTGGGCTCTCTTGATAAAAGTTAACATACTATAACTCATGTTCAGCTTGGCTCTGACTTCCACACATATCAACTTTCAGAGCGTCTCATGCCAGAAAAACAAATCCTGGCAAGGAAGTTTAAGTTGTTCTGACTTTTGGTTTGGTAAGAGATCTCACTTATCTTCTAAATGAAACCAGTCAAGTCTGAAATATTCTGCATATTAATGTATGTTACAAGGTGTTGCCTTATTTTGCACTGTTTTTCTTATATAATATATATATATATATATATATATATATATATATATATTATTTTATTTTTCTGTTATACATTCAGAAATAAAGTAGAATAACCTTACCACAGTTTACAGATCTAAAGGAGCCCATTTGATGAAAGCCATTCCAGGTAATGACACTAAGTTTAGCATTGCTTTTTTATTATTCAAAAGGAATACTTAAGGATTTAACATTAAGCTTTGTATTGGTAGAGAACCTGTATTTTCAAATTACCATGCTTACCTCCCTCATATCCCCCTGAGACGAGAGATTTATGTATTTTTTTATCTGGAAAAAAATCGTCTGATGACGCAAAATTTGGCATTTTGTGTAATCAGAGGATTTTTTGGCCGAAGGCTAAAGACTACAGTCAGTATTAGGGGATTTCCCGGATGGTCTCAACCCGCACGATGTTGAATTTGAATGTATTGTTTATATGAACGCTAAACAAGTGATCGGTTGATGTGCGTTTTAACATTCCTAAGAAAATTCCTGCACCTCCGTCAGAGATACGAGACCGGCAGCTAACTTGCATCTCACAGGTGTCGCTTATCGGTAATCACGCCACCGGCCTCGTGCCATTCCCCCCACGGCCCTCGGCCTCGTCCATCTCACCACAGTAAACATGACCCGCGCCGTTCTCCCACGGCCCTCACTCGTCCTGCTCGCCACAGTAAACATAATGAATGGCGACTGTAGAAAGTAAAAGCTGTATCCTGGACATTTTGGGCAATCTCGAAACACATTTTCGGGCAGACTCATCGCAGAGAGTCACTAGTAGCCTAGACTTGTTTAACTACTGCACTCTGTTACCGGTAGGCGTGGCCTCCAAGGGCAGTGAAGCAAGTGCATTCTGGGAGTTTTCTTTCATCCACATAAGCCAAAAATACATTTTTTGGCTTTTCTCAGTCTAGAAAGCTCCATATTCAAAAAATAATTTCACATTTCTTCAACATGAATGACCCATTTTAAATACACATTCATCTTTCCAGAGATGAAGTATCCCTTTAATGAGCATCTGAATCAACTGAATAATGGCAGGAATCCTCAGGCACATCAAGATTCCACTTATGTTTATGCTAGAAACCTGAATCATTAGGTGAAATGTGAATAATATGCAAAAAAAAAGTGCATCAGTTATTCAGTTCTTTCATTTCACCCCTGTAATTGATGTAGCAGAATGAAATCTCAGACTGTAACAAATGAATGAACCGATGACCCATAGAGGCATTCTGCTCCATTAAACCAGTATGACTTCTACGGTGCTTAATATATGATCGAAGTCCTGAGATTGGGAGGTCTGGTTTCAACCACTCATTGTCAGTACTATGCAGTAGTAGGAGGCCAGAAAACTGTCCACTAGGGATGTGACGGTAAGGAAATTTTCCCACCGGTTAACAGACGCGTCTCGAGCAGACTCGTTTATAGTTGTTAATCGCATGTCTGTTCTCCAACTAAACTAATTGATTTTGATTACTGTAAAAAAACAATTGTAAATGACAGTGGGGGGCTGTTTAACACTGTCTATCACAGCAAGACTACTGTCCACTCATTCCACATCACATTTACCTAAAATTACCACTCACACAAACACACACATCTCCATCCTAAAAAGGGAATGTGCTTTCTGAGTGGCTGACTCTGGGTCACCTCTTCTTACTTTACTTTGTCTGAACGGCTGGGCGGTGCCATTGATGTGGATGTACCTTA